ATATAACTTCCTATGTACCTACAGAAACCTGTATTTTTTTTCAATTTGACCTATGAAACTGAAATTGAACCAATAGAAACACGACAATATCCTTGCGTCATGACGTCATTTTCATTATTGACCTAGGTATTTTTTCATTATTTTCATTATTAACCTAGGGAGAGAAATTCAATTTTTTCTTAGAAAAATATATTGAATAATGTCTATTTCTCAGGTTAGTAGTAAAAAAACAAATTTTTTATTTTTTACTAGCAGTAGTAAAAAAAATTCTATATATTCCTCGGTAGAGAAAGTCATTATATACCTCAAGCATTATAAACCTCGGCGCTGCGCGCCTCGGTCTATAAAAGCTTTCGGTATATAATGACCAACTTCTCTACCTAGGTATATAATATACTATTAAAATCTGTGTTCTAATTATTTTTTGTGAACGCCCTCTTGAAAGCGCTTTCGGTATATAATGACCAACTTCTCTACCTAGGTATATAATATACTATTATTTTTTATAAACCAAAAATTTGAATCAACATATTGATAATACAAATCTTTTGTGAGAAAAACGGTGTCTCCATATTCCTATTCCTCACATGCCCTTACAAAGGAACGGGAGTGTAGGTATAGAGTTCTCTCCTGCAGGTGAAATTCGATTGTTTACCTTTTTATGAGTGTGCAAAGTGAAAATTCAGTTTTCCATTTTTAATCATTAGCGGTATAAAATAATGGCCATCAACTTCAAGCAGTTTTTTTCAGCAAATGAAGATAGGTACGTAATTTCTTAATTTGGAGCTAAAACTATGATAATCTACAGCGAAAAAACTTCTGCCTAGGAAGGAAAATAATTTACTTTCCTCCATAAGAAGGCGAAATTACTATTTTCCTACCTGAAAAAAAGATAACAAATTGTCACTTTCTGACAGTCATAAGAAAATGTGTCTTTCCTGCCTTGCCTATAATTGTGCCTGTTTTATAAGTATTCTATTCTATTCTTCAAAGTCAAGTCAGGTTATTTTTTATTTATTTCCATTTTTACTCTAAAACAAATGCCAAGAACCACGAATATCACCTTTACTTTAAATTGCTAAAGAAAGTAATTACCTATCTACATATTGCTATATTGACGTTACTTCATGAAAATAATTAGAGTAACACCGTTACTATTAGCCCCTATTAAAACTAACGTTTTCATCAGTGACAACATGAATTGATGTTACTTTAAAAAAATAATTATAGTAACACCTCTGTTACTTTAGCCACGGCCTAGCATAAATGCGAGCTCTCTCAGGTTAATGAAAACGGGTTGAAAATCGCTGTTTCAAGGATAACCGCGGTTATCAATATTCCATCGCGTTTAATCGGCTGTTTTGTATGTTGTTTGATTCAAAGATGACACTGACTTGACTATTTTTGTAATTTTTGAGGTGATAAAAAAGGTCGATTTACACAATACAACACAATAGGAAAATGCGTACCAGTTTCAAGCCTAGTACTCATAACCGCGAAATTCATTCTTTTTTGACATTGCTTCGACAAATTGACGTTTGATTCAAGCATAAAACGTCAAATTGTCGAAGCAATGTCAAAAAAGAGCGAATTTCGCTGTTATGAGTACTAGGGTTTATGATTGGCCGAGTGTACCTAGCAAATTTGCGAATGATCAGCAATGTTTGTGAAGAAATTTATTTGATCGGTGGAGACGGAATTTAGAATGTTTGCAGCCATGTGGGAAACTCTCTTTCTTTTAAATACACATGATTATGAAAACATATCACTTACGAAAATTTATTTTTTGAAGGCTTAAAATAAACGTTTTTGGGCGTGGCACCCGAAAAAAATTCTTTCTATGGCGGCCGGCCTACGACAGCGCCTGCCTACGACGAGCCTTCATCATTATGAAAACCCCCCCCCCAAATACAAATCCTGGGTGCGCCACTGGCACTACAGATTATGATTTCGCGGGCTTTTGCTTTTTGCATGCTTGTTTTTACTACATATAACATTCTTTTTTAGATCTCGTTTGCATCTTTCTCTTTGCTTATGCCCTATTATGCCTCCTTTCACACCTAGGAGGAGCTCCGGAACAGTTCCGCGGCGTTACGCGCTTATTTCCCAGCGCATCTGTTCCTTTCAAATCGGGGTCGACTTACACCGGAGCCCTAGTGTTCTAAGCTCTTGAAAGGAATACAGCTTATGTTAATCAAAATTAAATATTTTCCATTATAAATAGGTTGCCTGGTAACTTTATGACGTCATCTAGGGTGCCTCAACATAAGCAAATCTCCATGAGGCAACCCAGCTGCGTCATTATTACCCATTACCAAACAACCTAATGAACTTTGTGCCGCGATTACCAAATACAAATCCAATAAGCAATCAGTTAATAGTGGTGCAAACGGCCATAATTCATAAAATCTGTTTTTTTTTAAAGATAAAAGTCAAAATGACAATATGTTGGCAATACAATGTAAAATTGTCAATGCTTTCAAATTTATTATGTAGAAAAGGCTTGTGTTGCCAACATAGTTACTAAATTTTTGACTTGGGGAATTATCTTTAAAAAAAACAGACTTTATGTTTCAACATGAGGCATTTTTTAGCGAGATCCCAGTAACAACCGTTTATAACCGGTGCGGTTATACACGGTAACACTCCCACTTCAAAAATATATCCCTACCATTGGCAGATTTCTAGGATAAAACCGTTTTTCGTTAAAACGGAACGGTTATAAAAAATTTACAGTAAAGAGAGGTTAGTCAGTGATGGTAACATTTTTTTCACGATTCCCCTTTTCAGACAAAAAAAAATCCCTACTTTCTCCTACCAACCAAAAAAAAAATCCCTACAATTTTCCCTACGCTTTTTCAATTAATAGCGAATTCTATTGGAAGGGTTAGTGCGCCCTGAGTGTATTCGAGTCTTTTTCTAAACAGCTTATATAAGAAAGAGATAAAAACACATTTTTTCTGCACTAGTTTTACCAATAGAATTCGCTGTTGGTTGACTCAGTTGGATGCATGAAATTGCAGAACAAACAAAATACCTGGCGCCATCTATTGACTACTGTACAAAAGTCAAATTTTCCTTAGTCGCCATATTGAAAAATCACGTGGTTTAGAGAGCCTAATTAACAAGAAAGTCAAAAGTTTGTTGCTACGTTGCCAGTGCTCATCTTTCAGAAGTTATCCGTTTTCCTTTTTCAACTTATATACCTATTGAAAAAAGAGAGAGGTATTCTGCAGTAATGTGGCTTGAATGGAAATAGGAAAGATATAGGTACTAGGGATCCCCTCGTTTTTATTCTCATCGGTGACATCACCGATGAGTTAGCTATCTTTGTTTAGTGAATGGAAAATGACAATGACGGCCATAGAATGGTGGATCCATCGGTAAAATTTGATGAAAATAAAAACGCAAGGGATGTCTCGGTTGTCTCCTCTCGTGAGCAGTAAGAGTACGATCGATAATCGGAAAGCCGTATTTAACAAATATCATTTCTTCGAATTCTTCGTTTTTAATTTTTTTTTCCACAATATTCGACTAATCTCTGAATTTCCCTACATTTTCACAATTTACGAATTTCTGTCCCTTTTCCCTACACCAGAAAAAAAACATCAATTTTTCCCTACATGTAGGGAAATTCCCTACGTGTTACCATCACTGAGGTTAGTTTATATTTTGTGATAAATATAAAGAAAATGAAGTCATTGTCTTTTATTACTAATTGACGATATTATGTTTGAAAACACCCTGTATATTCTAATTTCTAAGCCTTATCGAGCCAAGTATAGTAGTCCCTTGAAATGTATATTGCGAGAAAATCATGAGAGACAGCTTATAGACCATAATGCGAGATCTGCCATTTTTTGATATCCTCCAATAACAAAAAAATCTCAGAAAAAACTCACTTTTACACATCAAAACAATCACAAAGTGAATCTAAGGTTAGAATTTTTCAGTTTCTCAACTCTCGACTTGGGTATCAAAAACAATAACCGTGTTATAGAACGATGACGTCACTTTATGACAGCAAAACACCTTCCCCTATTACCGTTTTCTCGCAAAAACGGATCGGTTATTGATTTCCTGTAACCGCTTGTAACACGGGAACTAACGGGAACTCGCTAAAAAATGCCTATGGATTAAGTTTTATAGTACAACGGTCGAAATTTGATCGTGGCGCCATCTAAGACAAAACTTCAACACCAAGCAGCAATTTTCGCAATTTAAGTTTCTGTTTCCGCAGAAATTACAAACCAGTCACAGGGAATTTCATTGGTTGAAAACAGTCAGAAAACTAGTTTCAACCAATGAAATTCACTTTGGTTTTGATTTAGTGATTTTTGCAGAAACAGACCTATTATTAATATACAATCGATTGCTGTGACGTAAATATCGATACATCATCGCCATCCCTATAGGACGCGCATTTGACGCGCCCATTTGTCAAAAAAAAAAACCAACCTCACTTTATCGATCATTGAACAACATCAAACGTTTGAAGACAATAAACCGCCTTTTCTCATCAAAAAATCAACTAAAAACACCTCCGAAAATGGCCTACAAACCTCAAAAAGTGCAAAAGGTGATGGTGCAGCCGATCAACTTGATCTTCAGGTACCTGCAGAACCGGTCCCGGGTGCAAGTGTGGCTTTTCGAAAACATCAGGCTAAGGATTGAGGGGCACATCGTGGGTTTTGACGAATACATGAATTTGGTGCTCGACGACGCCGAGGAGTACTACACCAAGACCAAAAACAGGAGACAGCTTGGCAGGATAATGCTCAAGGGGGACAATATTACATTGATTCAAATGGTGAAGCCAGAAAGTGGTGGTGGAGCTTAAACTTCTCAAACAATCTGCTATTTTTAAGGTTTACTTCTTGATTTAAGGGTATTTTGTAATAGTTCTCTAATAAATAATAATTTTGTGAAAAAAAAAACGAGTTTTATTTGCATTTAAACATTTTTTGCATACGCCATACACAAACCCATTATTAATCTAGGTGGTAAAGCAACAGCAGGATTTATAGAACGCTGCGTATCATACATAGGAGAAAATGCTATGGAGTGTTCCAGGACCAACTCCTTCCTGAATCTACCAAAAGAGGCCCTAATAAAACTGGTTTCTTCAGATTATGTAAGCTTATTAATATGCAGCTTATATTTGCTAAAAAAAAAATGCTTTACTTAGCTCTGCCTAGAAGAAGAAGATGTTTGGAGGGCCGTTTTGAATTGGGCCAAATACCAAGTTGGTGTAACCCAACCTACCCTTCACTGGACTGATGAGGAAAGGGCTAGAGTGTGCCAGCAATTATCTTATGTAATTAATCATGTTCGTTTGCTTTTAATAGGTAATCATCTTGCTAGAACAAACAAATTTGTTGTCTAACATAAAATTTATTTAGATTCTCAAGTGTTTGCTGAAGAAGTAGAACCCACAGGTGCAGTACCAATGGAGCTGAGCTTGGAAAGATACCGTCATGCAGCTCTGCCTAGCAAATATCCAGACACAACTGAAGATCAAAGATTGAAGCCCAGAGTTTCACCGCATCTATATCCAGGCTCTTTGATAATAGGCCAAGACAAGAGCCATTATCAAAGAGTGCTAAATGCATGGTTTGGCCATCCCAAACAAACCTGGCGATTAGTTTATAGGGCAAGCAGTCATGGGTATTCAGCTTCATCTTTTCATAGACATTGTGACGGAATATCGCCAGTTTATGTTATAGTTTTGGTAATAATATTGTTGTTGATTATTGAGTTTATAAATGGGGTTTTAGGGTGCAAGAGGTGAAATTTGTGGAGGCTTTAGCGATGCTGCATGGGCAAGACCACCTGGCAAAAGCCGCTACATAGCTGCTGAAAAAGCTTTTCTTTTTACTTTGTACAATCATCAAGATTTACCTCCAAGTCAGTTTCACTTAGTGAAAAAGCCTTTTGCCATATGCTATCATCCAGAGTAGGTTTAAATTATTATTTGATTTTTATTGCTTCATTTTTATTTTTCTAGTTCTGGGCCAATATTTGGTGCCGGAGCTGACTTGTTAATTTCAAGCCACTGCAATAGCAACATGGACAGCTATTCAAACTTGCCCCACACCTATGACGGAGATGGAGCCTCATCTTCAATACTAATGGGAGATTACAATTTTGCTGTAGCAGACTATGAAGTTTTTACTCCAGTAAATTGTCCAACAAAGTTTCCCAAAGCAGAGAGGTATCAGTAGACTTCAAGAAAATGTGCTTTGTTAAATAAAAAACTATATTTTTTTCTTAATATTATTTATTATATTGATTATACTAACAAACATTCATCTCCTATATCTATATCTCTTGAAATGGAACCACAATTGGAAAATATTATTGTGAAACTGACACCTAAATCCTCTTTTATATGAATACTCCCACTCTCTATTAACAATTTTGAAGGCTATATCTTCATATGGAGGTCCTGCATGGAATCTAAGTATAGCAAATTCTCTGTTTTCTGGACAAGGAGTGAGGAAATATTCAGGAGTGCAATTCTTATCAATTAAATCTGGATAAAATATATTAAACTTATACCCTTGGACTATTTTGGGTGGAGGATTATCCATGTCATAATGAGTTTGATTATATTTGTTCCATTCAAACCCTGTATGGACTCTGTTGAAGTATCTTGGTTTCCTCGGTCTATATTTATCAGACCATAAATAAACTTGACTGTCCAATGCTTGTTCCACACTGAATTGGGCTTCATCTTCACCCATGCCACTTCGAGCTTCTTTCTGAAGTAAAAGCTCCTCTTTTGTGATAACATTTTCCACTTTCTTGCCTTTATTTGTCACTTGCAATCTGGCAAATTCTAAACGTTTTATATCATCTTCTTCTGAAACCACTATGGTGCCAGGCTCAATTTGCTCAGAATTTAATAGTTTAGGACTGTAGTTGCCATTTTGGTAAGCAACAAAGCATTCATTGAGTATATCACTGGCTGCTTCTTCATTATTTTCACCTTCCTCATCGCTTTGACTTTCATTGTCTGCTGATTCTTGTGAAGTTCCTGGTTTGGATTCTTGTGGACTTTGTGAAGACTGATTACTATTTTCAGCATTTATTTCAGGCACAGTTACAGCTTGTTCAGCTTTTAATACTTGAAGTTTTCTCTTCAAACTAAGTTGATGTCTGTCTCTAAGTCTGGCTCTAGCCATGTGAGCTTTCAATTGAGACAAAAGCGACTCCCAATAGCCTATGTCAATACCATCAGATTTGCCACTGATTTTGCTTTCAATTTGCTTTTGAAGATCCTCAAGTTGTATGGCTGTTTTGCCTTTGAATACTGCTGTAACGTCTTGGGCTACTGCTTGATTTATGCCTTCGCGTCTACCAATTCCAGCATCAAAATCTTGTTCTCTTTGCAGTTTTCTTAATTTTTGAAGCTCATCTTCTACAATTACAGTAATATCGTTCCAGTAGTCTAAATTCTTGCCCCTCTCTAACTCTTTATATACTTTGATATCTTCTACAAGATCTTCTAAATCTTTTATTTGCAGTCCATTAAGATAAGTGTAAGGTTCGTGCATTTCTACAGCATCTACTTCTTCTTCTGCACTGATATACTTTGCTAGTAGATCAATAGGCTTGGCTCTACCATCCTGAATTCTTATGTGGCTTCTCAACCTTGCTTGTTCTAAATGGAAATTATCCTCTTGTCTCTCCCATTCCTCAAACTGTGCTGCCTCCTTGCTTCTTTGAAGTAATTGATTGTCGTCATCTCGGCGCTGTTTTTCTAATTCCCTTTCCAGACGTCTTTTTTTTACTTTTTCTAGTTCTCTTTTGCTTTCGTCTTGCTTAAATCTATTTCTGGCTTCAAGTTCTGCACGGGATGCATTTGTTAAACCTTCTTTTGCTAGTTTTTTGTTCCAAACAAATGTGCTTAGTAAGTTACCATCTCCAAACGGATTATCGCTATTTGTGTAGTGGAGATATTCATTGTCCCAGCCCATTCTTTCTTTGCGTTTCCTCTCTTTTTCTTCTTTTTTCTTTAGGCGTCTTAAACGTTTTTCTTCTGCAGTTTCTGTAGCTTTCATTAGCTCCTTTTGTTTGCGCCTCTCTTCGATTTCCTGCAAACGCTTCTTTTCGAGTTTCTTGAGTAATTTTATGGATTTATTTGAGTCACTAGAGTCACTGCTACTAGAAGAATCACTGTCGGAATCATGTTTTTTGGATTTGTGAGGAGATTTTCTACGGTTGTGGTTACTTTTTGATCGTTTTGAAGAGGTAGATCGGCGTCTTTCCGAGCCACTTTTGCCAGACTTTTTGGTGGATTTTCGAAATTCTTCACTTGAAGATCTGGATTTCCGACGGTGTCTGGAGCTTGAACTGTGGTCGTCATAACGGTATCGGTGTCTGATACTGTCTCTAGGCATGTTTTTATGGTTAATGAACAACTAGAAAATTTCCTGGCTGGGATAACAGAAACGTATTAGAAAAATTCGATTGAATCAAAAATAATCAAAACACAAGTAACCCTAACCTGAAAATTTACTTGTCATTCTTCTTGTCAAATTTGAATGTTGAGTCAGGAGCAGTGTTGCCAATCTGTAAGACTGTAAATTACCCTGTATTTATGCCTCGCCAAAGGTGAGTTCGGCTTGGCATAAAACAGAGTTGGAGCGGATAAAGAGCAGTTTCATAGTTACGTGATCACAGAGTGAAAAGAGTAAAATGGTTAAGTCGAACGCATCGGGTGCAAGGCGAGCGCTTTATCCCCATCACAAACCGGAACATGTGTTTTTGCGGATATTTTGGGGAGCGATGCCATTTTTTCTACCAGAAGCCCCAGGAGACAACCAAGCCCTAAGCAAAAAATATCTTCTTTGAATTCTTTAGGCCTTAGGGTAAGATTGTTAGCATAGAGAATTATTAAAAACTTAAATTTTACCGCCTTTTGGAAATATAGGAAGTACGCATGTCCGCTCCTCGAGCTTCATCTCTCGAGGTAGTGCTTGTGGAGTTAACTCTTTTCACCCTACTAGGCTGTACCCGAACGATTAGGAGCATCAAAAAATTTATTGATATTTTGCTCGCGGTTTTTCAATGCTTTACCTGTATTTTGGTGCCAAACACCTGCCAAAAACTTGGCTTCACTTAGGGCGGGTATTATAAAAACTACTGAGAGTTAACTTAAAGTTTACTTCTGGAATTACATGTACCTTATTCAAAAACTTAACTTCAAGTTAACTGTTAGAGCAGTTTTATAATACCCGCCCTTAGGGCGGGTATTATAAAACTACTCTGAGAGTTAACTTAAAGTTAACTTCTGGAATTACATGTAATTCAAGAAATTAACTTCAAGTTAACTGTCAAAGCAGTTTTATAATACCCGCCCTTAGTTTTATAAACAGAATGGCGCGTTCCTACTCCTTATGTCCGTAGGATAGCGCTTTCCCTGCTCTAAGGTTTTATATTTTTGTGATATACCTTAGCTGGGAGAGAAACAGAAACCAAAAATCCGGCGGTGAACCACCGGAAAAAAAGGAGAAAGGAGTGCAGTGCAGTGTTGCCAAAGTTGATCTGCAGTCTGCTCTTAATTTTGGGGTGCGTTCAATGATATACTTCGTTGGACTAGGAAATCTCAAGGATATTACACACTACTTAAGGATTGCTAATCGGCCTCGTTTTTGGCAATCGCCGCCATATTGTTGTGTTACCATTTCCGACGTCATTAACAAGTCGTTAGCTGTTCGCACTAGAGGTCGTAGTTTAGAATTTAAATTTATGATGAAAAATACCATTTAATTTTGATTAACATAATAGGCAAAGAGGAATATGCAAACGAGATCTAAAAAGGAGTTGTTTCAGAATGTTAATTTGTAGTAAAACTAAACACGCATAAGGCCGGATTTTCATGCATCCATTTTCCGACGAAATATGTCCGAAAAATCTTCGATTTTGACATATTTTTATACGATTATGTCAGAATAGAATGTTTTTCGGACATCTTTCGTCGGACAAACGGATGCATGAAAATCCACCCTAAAGCAAAAGCCCGCGGAATCATAGCCCGTGGTGCAAACAACCTACATCAAGGCGAGAAACGACATGCTGCCTACGTCACAACTAGTGATTTGGCATGGTGGGTGCTTCAGATTTGTTCTATATAGGCCTTATTAGGATAGTCTATCCTGTGGTAGTAGTATGTATTATCTTTGCCTTACGTCAACGATTGCATCCATTCAGGCAATTTTTGGCGAGGATATTAATCAAGCATAATCTGAGCTGGGTTATGTGCGGTTATGTGATGTGTCATTTGTGTCTAAGGTCGTGTTTATATTGGAGCTGTGATAAACGATAAAAGCAACGATACTAAACTAATGATAGTTTTCATTACTGTCGTTGCTTTTATCGAGTATCACAGCTCCAAATTCTGGGCCTGCGAGTGACGCCACTATCATGAGCTTTGGGTGATGACGTCACCCGCAGACCTCGATGGAATGCTTGCGATTTAGGGTTAATTTTCATGCATCCGTTTATCCGTCAATCCGTTGATCCGAAAGTATTCCTATTGGCCCAATATTTTGGCGCCAGAATATTGGATCAATAGGAATACTTCCGGATTCTGGCGCCAAAATATTGGGCCAATAGGAATACTTTCGGATAAACGGATTGACGGATAAACGGATGCATGAAAAGTAACCCTTAGGGTGGATTTTCATGCATCCGTTTGTCCGACGAAAGATGTCCGTTAAACATTCTATTCTGACATAATCGTATAAAAATATGTCAAAAGAGAAGATTTAACGGACATATTTCGTCGGACAAACGGATGCATGAAAATCCACCCTTAGGCTGTGCTAGTGAGTTAAAATTTTCGTCGATTTTAAATGGAGAGAAGGTTTGTTCTCACAGAAGAAATTAGGCGTTCTTGATCCTCGAGAATCTTGATGGCTGGAGAGTTAGGGGAGTGGGACTTCCTAGAGCTGGAACATCGACTCGATACATCGATGTTTGGCCTCGATGTCGATACTATCCTTGCGTTCGGTATGTTGCTCAAAGAGTAGAGCGTGCAGAGCGGAGCCGTAATCACGTGACCGGCGAGCGCACAGAGCAATTAAACGCTGTATGAGAGAATCAGAGGTCTCGAAATTTTAATAAACGAACGTGAATGAGCCTGCACTGAGTACACTTTTTAAATAAACGAACGGTAAATTTATGCTCGGAGAACTCAGATCAAAATACCGAACGCACGGTATAATCCCTTTATCGAGGCCGGCCGTATGGTATCGATAAGCCACAACACACGTCAACAAGTGAGTGGTGGAAACTGTCATTATCAGTCACATGTCGTAATTTTCAAAAAAAAAAAAAATCAAATTCAAAATTGACAAGTTTTCATTACCATCTTCATCCTTCTGGAAATATCCATAATTTCACAATATCCTTCGTTTACCATATAATGCCTAAATCACTGAGATGAACAGACGTCCATCACCATTAGAAAACGAACAGTGCCGGTCGTGCTCCAGCTTTTCGGATTACATAAAGTCGACTAGAAAAAAAAAGGATGAAAATGGAAATACAGTTACTGGATCCCAGTCCGCGGTAGCTGGCGATGGAGGGACTACTGGCCATCAGGTAAGTTTATTACAGCATCTTGCACAATTTCTCACAACAATTATTCCTAGGGTGATTCTGGCGGTAGAAGAACCGATTGTCCTTTGGACAAGGATGAATTGGGACGCAGTGCGTGGGGCCTTATACATACGATGGCTGCCACTTATCCACAAACACCTTCGCAGACCCAAAAATGCGAGATGAGAACGTTTTTCAATGTTTTTGCCAAGTTCTACCCTTGCCCGCACTGTTCTGAAGATTTACAAGAAGAGTAAGTTTTTGGTTATTTTGTCCTAGATTTGTCTAATTTTTTTTTCATTTAGGTTGAAAATAGAGCCCCCCAAAGTAGAAAACCCAGAACAACTGAGTCAATGGTTATGCCGATTACACAATAAAGTTAATGTTAAATTAGGTAAAGAAATATTCGACTGTTCTAAAGTGAACGAACGATGGAGGGATGGTTGGAAAGATGGTTCCTGCGATTAGGTATATTTAGGAAATAAAGCATTTATTTCTTTCAATAAAAACAAATTACTGCCTCTATATCTTTTTATTAATAAACTTAATTGTTATGGATAATTTATTTATTTCTTTTTTAATTTCTTGTTTTTTTGAAAATTGCCCTTTTGGGGGCGTTTTTTCGAAAACTTATCCCCTGAAACAGCATTTTTGTAGCCCTTAATCCAATGGTTACGTTTCTGTTCCCATGCTAATTGTTTCTGACCTAAATATTATCATTTTATTAAAAATATTGGTCAAATACTGAATACTTACTAGCTTTGTCTTTGTTCTCCATCACATTTGAACTGCCAGGTTTTTGTTTGGAACTGCCTTCTTCATCTAGCAAAGAGGCAAATTCTTCTGCTGACGCAAATACTGAAGACATGTCATCTGTTTTGGATTTTTTCTTCAAGGATTTTTTTAGGTTTCTTTTTGAAGCGGGAGTTTCATCTTCTGAATCTGAAGGGAAATCCGAGGGGAAATCTAAGTCTTCATCGTCATCACTAAGACCATCAATTAAATCTAGAAAAAAAATAATTCATTATTGGTAAAATTAATATATTAATTAATTACCTAAATCTTCCTCAGTGGCTTCCAACTCATCATCATTAGCATCATCACCACCGTCAAATTCTGGTTCCTCATCACTAAGTCCATCTTCTTCGTCACTAAGTTCTTCATCTTCATCTTCACTGCCCTCTTCATTTTTCCTTTTCTTTTTTTTGTCAGTGTCTTTCTTCTTGAGACCCTCACCAATTTCTCCCATGAAGTCTAGTTCTTCCTCATCAGGCTATAAGAATACAAAATTAAAAATGTTTTTAACAATATAAAAATATTTGCCTTGAATCCTCCCATTTTATCAAGCATTTCTTCAAATTCTTCACTTTGAACAGACTCCAAGTCACTATTGTCGTCAGCCATTGGCTGATTTTGATGCTTTTGCTGCAAATAACTTAAAAACCCATTAAATAAACCTCCCAACTTTACAAAAAAAATTACTTACGAATATAGAAACATTTCCTCCACAGGAATATTGTCTTGATTTTCGTTCAAGTAACTTTTTGAATTGACTGCCAACATTTTTACTCCTTTGGGTTTGTAAAATTTCCTTTTACCAAAAGTAGGATGTGCTCCTGATTTTTCATCAAAAGATTTGGGGTTTTTAAATACAAACCTCTCCAAAAACCGTATCAAAGTGAAATCCTTCAAAGGATCTCCAGTGTATTTAACTTTTTCGCCTTGAAGCACATTGTGAGCCCACAAAGCAACTGTAGGATGGAAATGATTTTTCAAATATCTCAGTTCAGAGTAGGCCAAAAATTCTCCTCCAGCAAATAGAGGATTCCTTGACGAAGGGTTGTATTTTGAAATAGGTTCGTGCACTTTTTTGACTTTTTGGTCCACATGAACCCAACTAGAACCTTTAAACGAAACTTCCAATAACTTCAAGTCTGGTTTTTCTTCTTCTGGTTCTTCTTTAATTTCAATTGCTTCTGCATTAAGGATTACTGGGTCTTCATTTTTATTAGTTTCATATTCCAAATCTTCTTTTTCATCTTTAATATCATAATATTTTTCTTCCTCTTCGTCTTCAAATTGATCTAAATTAGTTGCATTTAGTTCTTTGAGGGTTAAGGCTTGCAGGCCAGGTTTTTTCGAAATAAGCTGAGACACCAAATATAAAAGGCCACAAGAAAAATTTGGTTGGACATACATAGAAATTTGCAATAGTCTTTTAATGAAAACTTTTATCCTGTCTATTTGGGTATCTTTGAGCAAAGCTTTATATAAAAGAGATAAAAGCATGGCTTGATGTGTTGTGGTTAATAGTTTGGGATCTAGGAGCTTTTTATATAGAGCTGCATAATATCTATCTGCCATTTTTTCTCCAGTTACTTGATAGAGCAACATCAATACTTGAAGCCCTATATTGAAACTAGCAAGATGTACCAACTTATATAAAGTACTGACATGATCTGACATATCTTCAAATTCCATTTTTGAATAAGGAAAAGCACGGTTTATGCCCATAAGTAGTGCGGACATCATTCTACTATCAACTTCACCCTAAAGAAAAATATTTATAATATAAATAATTACACTGATTAGAGTTACCTTTTTAACACAAGCCTTAAAAAATCCCAAATAAACTTCAATCATTTTTCTGGCTACATTTGAAGCTTCATGGCTCAAATAGAACTGACTCAAAAAGCAAAGACAATAATATTGTGCTCTTGTGTTTATGTTGCTACGAAATAAAAGCTTTTCAACTTCTTTTAGTACCACTTCTTGCATGTTTGAGTGCTTAAATAGTAGCTGAGTGAGGCAATAGATGGCTTTTGAGGCTACTTTTTGTGAAGGGTCTCCCAATTTATTGATGAGGTTTGCAAGAAGATTCTGAAAGAAAGATTTTACTGAATTTTCAATAAAAACAATCCAGATATATGTATTATAATTAACAAATTCATTGTAATGAATTATTAGAGAAACAAACAAAATTCACACTTTCTTCATCTCCAAGATGCGATTTTTTCTCTGCTACATAGAATTCCCTCTTGAAGGCAGGTCTCAGTTGGCAATTTAAAATTTTCTTGTTTCGATAATCTTTTTTTTCCTTATTTGTCAAAACAGAATCGAAATTGGCCTTTTCTGGCAGCCTTTCGATTTTGATAATTTTCTGTGGACCCTCATTTTTGTCACCCTCCTCCCGAGTTTGATCTTCTGATCCGGATTCTGGATGTATATAAGTTACCACAATAATTTTTTGGGGTTTGTTATTTTTACTTGAATTTCGTACTACGCCTTTTGACATTTTTTATGACATATTATGATTAACCAGTTAAATTTTAATAAAACTGCATCACGGGCATTATTACAATCACACTACGTTGAAATTAGATTGAAATTTTGTATTGATATTTTCCAAATGGATAGAAGAAAGATTTTGGATTGAAATCTAAGTTAAAAATTACCTTTTCCTGTTCAGGGTTGCCACAAAGCAACTTGAACATAGCTGTAATAGATTTTTCCTTGTTACTTTCCACTGTATCCTGAGCAGCCCTGTTCAAAGCCAAAACAAAGCTGGTGTAAATTTCTTTAAGCTCGTCCTCAAAGTACCATTGGCTCAATATTTTACGTCTCTTTATTGCATTTCCAGAGGAAAGGTCGTTGATCATAGAAAGAGGTTTTGAATGAAATGGAGCCAATTTTTGATCAGGTTTGAGAAGGTCTGATAAAAATAGTTCAGTGAGGGTCTCTGGAATAAGCAACTTAGTATTGGTTAGAGAAATATTTGAGGAAAATTACCCATAACAGTGAAACATTCTTTTTTCTTGCCTACTTTGACCATATTCACCATGTTCCTCAAAGTTTCCAGATTACAAACTGGATTGTCTTGTATAGCAACAGTGTGGGCAGCTATTTTATCAGATACGGTTCCAGTATTCATTACAGTTTTCATCCATTGATAATTTGAATTTGTTTTGGAGTTTTCTACAAGGAAAAAGCGTGTAAAGCTAATTTAGTATAAGAAAAACTGGTGTACTCACTGATATTATAATTAGCTACTTCAATATCGTGGCATTTCTTAGCTTCGTCTTTTAATTCAATCAATATTTGCTCTGTTACATTATCAAACTTTTTCGGTTCTTGGGTTTCTGTTTCGTACCATTTGGGGGTTTCTTGATAATCCTCCTCTAAATTTTCATCTGCATCTGCAATAGGGGTTTTGGGAGCTTGTTTGAACTTATTCTTCTTGTTGAATTTCATTTTGCACCTTAAATGGGATGAATTAACTGGAAAACTTGGAAATGTTTTGAATTTGAAGAGACATGTGGAAAATTAGGGTTAGGTTAGTGCTGTGCGATGTTTATCGACATAGCGTTTATCGAGGGATTATAGTATCGACATCGAGGCCAAACATCGATGTATCGAGTCGATGTCCCAGCTCTAGGAAGTAGTGCTGACCAATGGTGCTGACAAATGAAATTATCATCGTCACATTCGACAAATCGAAAGCTGAATATCGATAAGCCCTTCTCTAGTGCTCCCAGTTTAGAACATGAGAGCTACTCGCTTCGCTGTTAGTCGACCCCGATTTGAAACGAGATGGCTTTCGTTCGGGCTTGAGCACTTCAGGTGCAGTAAACACTTTTCGAAAGAAATAGGCGCGTAACGCCCCGAAACTGTTCCGGAACTACTCTTAGATGTGAAAGGAATACAACCTTATCGATATTTGTTAAAACATCGAAGTTCGACGTTTTACCAGGGACCCGGACCAAACGTCATGACAAATATCGATTCCGTTACGATTCCGACGATAAAATTATGCTTGATAGCCTTGATATTCAACTTGACGTAGCTTGACAAGTGATCGATTTTCAATTGTTTGTATTTTTGATTGACAAATAAGTTGCACGTCACGCGGTTCTCCTCCTTCCCTTTTTATTCCGTGCAAATAATAAGAACGGATTGCTATACGTAAGTCTAACATAATTTGGTACGTTTTGCCTCGTCTTGCGCAATAAGCGTTCTGCATCTTTTTCTATCTAATAAAGCTTTCGTATTATTACCTCTTTATCTGGTAAAATAGATAGGTCTTATTTTTTATGGATTTCTCTGCCTATCTGCAACAACTTTAATGGTGTAATATTTTTCATCATAAATTTGTATATTCTTAACTACGACCGCTGGCGCAAACCGCTAAAACGACACACTGTAATGACACCGTTGATGACGTCGACAACGGTGCACTACGATATGAACTTGATTTCAAAAATCCAAGCGGATGCGCAATCCTGTAGAAGTGTGTAATATCTTTGGTGTAGCCTAGGAGCTCTCTGGCCTAGCCAAGTTCAAAAATACGCGTTTTACAGCGCTCTGTTTTTCAAGTGTTAAATTTATTACGATATGACCAAACAGCGAACGGCCTAATTTATGAAATCTTAAAACCGTAAAATACCGGTAAGAACCGATTTATTTATGGCGACGTTCCGTAAGTTAACCAAGATTCTTGGTTTTTCCGGTTCCCGTTCCGTAACCTAACCACTCCTGAAATCTGGTTAGGTATGAAACGCGGTTCCCGAAAAATTCGGTCCCAACTGTCACCGAATCTACCGATAAAGCTTTGGTTGTTTCGGTTTGTTTTCAATTTCTGACATCTGTTTGTTAGGTTAGGTGATAATCTTTCAACTTTTTCGTTTTTGAAGTGTATTCGCGGTGAAAATGGAACAAGAGGCAAATACCACATTCATTTATGTCGATTTCTAACTACAAATATATTTTTAAGAGCGTAATATCCTATCATATCATCAAGTATCCAAGCCAAACCAAAGCTGAACCGGAGCGTTCCACACTTAAACCGCATTTTTAGGAACCCAGACTGTCATCATAAGCCGCTATCCAGCTGACGCTTTTGAGCACGCAATCGAGCTTTTGCGCGCGCAAATGCTTCAAGCGCGTGTTCGTGTTCCAGCCGTACTGCGCTTCGAGAGCTTGCTAACTTTTGCGTTTCAAACACATAACACTGTGCTGCACCATGCTTGAAGCACACAGCTGGAAAGCGGCTATAGACGAACCGCTTCATACCGATCGGTAACTCTGGTTAAGATACGGAACGCCGCCCATATCTGTTCCGGTTCTGCTTGCCAACATTTCTATGAAATATGGTTCTCGTTCCGGTTTCGGTCCGCAAAAAAACCGGTTCCGTTCTGGTTTTCGATTCTCGTTTCGATCCGGGTCCCTGCGTTTTACCATCGATGTCAGGGTTGCCAGATCTATGAAATGAAAAAGCGGGACTGTTCTTATCCAGAGGGCGAACATTTTATTTTTTTCGGGTGTCACACCCAAAAGTATAAGGGGTGGGGGGAGGGGCTGTAGTGCCCAATGTGTCCCCCCCTCCTATGGAGTATGGACCCCCTTGAGCAAAAGCGCAACAAATTTTTTGGAACCACGCCCAAATTTTGCTAAGAATTCAACCAAAAGTGGACCAAAAAAAAAATCTCTTTTATTAGATAACAGAATAAACGCTTCACGACAAAACAACAGTAAACATCATTATTTATACGCTATATAGAGTGGCAAAAAAGTAGCGCATAATACCTGTAACTTTTTGTATGAAAAAAGGTCCTAAAAAGCTAAAGGTTGTATGCACTGCACTACTTTTTTTGCCTCTCTGTATGTTCTGCTTTTATTACATTATATAAAGCACAATTTAAATAATTTTGTGATAAACTATGTTCTTTCGTTGTGCTTCACAAAATCAAATTTTAATTAGATTTGAAAGAATGTTTTTAACACGTAAAATCCTAATCATTCACTTTCGTCACTAGATATTTTATCACTAGTGACGAAAGTGAAGTTTTCGGCTAAGGTGAGATATGACGAAGTTGTTTATTTTCTAACGGTCATAGAAAAAATTATTTTTCGCGAAAGTTGTCTATTTTTCAGTGGTCAGAAAAAAAGTTTTTTGCAGATGCTAGTTTGTTTGTGCAATGAGATTTGGATTTTGTTGGAATTTTTGACATTTTTATACCTACACAACATACAATATTTATTAATAAAACCCAAGAATCGTAAACTAACAGGATTGCTCATCCTGAGAAGGTATTCATTCGCCGGTTCTCGAGTCCACAAGGTCTGCGAGTGACGTCACTACGTCAGGAGCTAATATTGGTGACGTCATCCGCAGACCTCGACGAAATGTTTGCGATTCAGGCTCGTTGCTATTTATGTAACAAGCGTTTTTTTTGTACTAAATGTAAAGATTGGGTGGAAAAATCGGGAAAACCGGGAGAATTCACGTGAAAAGCGGGACCTGAAATTAATTAAAAAAAGGCGGGACCGATTAACAAAATGCGGGACTGTCCCTCCTAAGGTGGGACGTCTGGCAACCCTAATCGATGTTAGGGATTATAGTATCGACATCGAGGCCAAACATCGATGTATCGAGTCGATGTCCCAGTTCTAGGAAGTAGTGCTAGCAAATGAAAATATCCTTTCATTATTAGGTCTGTTTCTGCAGAAATCACAAACCAGTCAGAGTAAATTTCATTGGTTGAAACTAGTTTTCTGACTGTTTTCAACCAATGAAATTCGCTCTGACTGGTTTGTGATTTCTGCAGAAACCAATGAACTAACTATAACCAAAATCTGGAATGCGAAAACATATTGACGAACGTGAAGACTAGTGCCGCTGCTGCGGAGGGGATACCTGTTTTTGTCGCACTCATTATGTTAAATGGCGGAAATTGCTTCCAACACGTATTCCAATTGATGAAACCTGTGAAGGTAAATATGACAAAACTTTCCAAAACGTCATATATCAGCGAGCAACAGAAAAAAACAACATTCCCCTTTGTGGCATCTGTCTTTCATGGCTACATTTTTTTAGCAGATATGGCAATGTGTGCGCATTCCAGTTTTTGACTATAGTTCATTGGCAGAAACAGACTTAATGAATCGACGTTCAATGAATGCAAGGATGATACACACTACTACTACTACAGGATAGCCTATCCTCATAAAGCCTGTGTGGAAGAAATTCCCCCCTTCCCCCCCAAGACCAAATCACCAGTTGTGACGTAGCAGCATGTTATTTCTCGCCCTGACGTAGGCTGTTTAAACTAAACTGACGAGTGACGACTTAGTTATGACGTCGGAAATGGTGACACCCCAATATGGCGGCGATTACGAAAAACGAGGCCGATAAGCAAACAGAAATCACAAACCAGTCAGAGTGAATTTCATTGGTTGAAATTAATTTTCTGACTGTTTTTCAGGAACCCGGACCGAAATGAAATATCGGTTCCGTTCTGGTTCCGGTTTACTGAGTCATGGCAAATATCGGTCCGTTATGGTTCCGGTTCTAAGAGAAATGTTTCGATTTGGTTCAGACCTTTAGTTATAGCATACAAGCCAAACTAAAGTTTGGCTGGGATCACGACAAGTAGAATTCTACTTTCATGACGTCAAGTTGTCTAGCAGCCATCATCATCGCTTGTACTGTACGCGATAAATAAGTCGCGGGTGACGTCATGAAAGTAGAATTCCACTTGTCGTGATCCCAGCCCTGAACCGTAGCGTTCCACGACCACACATAAACCGCATTTTCAGGAACCAGTCTATTATAGACCATAGACGAACCGCTTTTTACCGGTCGGTAACTCTGGTTAAGATACGGAACGCCACCTAAACTATTCCATTTTTCATTAAAGAGGTTGGCATCACTGAATCAGATTTGACATGGCGGCTAAATTCAAACAATCCGTCAAAATCACCTGATTATCAATATTCACTTTTTCTCAATCGCAATAAAAAAATCTAGAGATACAAATAATTATGAAATTACATTATCATGCGATGATAATTTACTTTACTAATTGCATAAATACTTAGCAAATACACCTCTGACCTTGACCTCCACCATGTTTTATACCTACTTAGTTTCTACGCTATAAATCATTTAAAATTCAAATTCATACCGATGAGTTTATCCAGAGAAAAAGTGATTGTGGTTGCAGTTTGTGGTGCAACATGCAGCGGGAAATCGACGATAGCCAGTGAACTGCACAAGATTCTGCCTGACAGCAAAATATTTTGCCAAGACGATTATTTTTTGCCAGTGAAAGATCCTAGGCATTTACTGATTCCAGAACTGAACCACATCAATTTTGATATACTGGGCTCATTGGATATGGAACAAATGACCAAAGATATCGAGGAACATGTGAAAAAAGAGTCTAAAAAAATACTAAGAAATATTATTAAAAATCAGCGTCATGTTGTCATAGTTGAAGGATTTTGTATACTAAACCACAAACCCTTGGCAGATTTATGTGATTTAAAATTCTACATTACCTTAAACTATGAAGAATGTTTGAGGAGACGTTTGAAGAGGGTGTACGAGCCTCCGGATTGTCCTGGATATTTTGAAACATGTGCGTGGCCAGAGCATTTGAAGCATTTACAAGAAGTTAAGGAAAATGTCAAGGAAGTTCAGTATTTTGATGGGAATACCAGCCCTAGTAAATTGTCCAAGAGGATAATGGAAGATATTGTGAAATTTTTGTAATTAAATCACACACAATTTGTAATAAAACTTTAATATTTCAGAACAAATAAAAAGCTTTGATTATGTATTTACAATTTTGCAATGAATTAGTACCACTCATTTTTCTTCAGCGAGATTTATTAATTTATAACTTATAAATAAAGAAAAAAAAAAAAAAACAATATCCGATGGGCCTACAAAAAGACCAATACTTTATTAGTCCTCTAGATCTAGATCTTCTAATCCATCTAAATCATCTTCTAAGAAGAGGTTTTCATTTATAGGTACCGCTTCAGCATTTGAATTGCTGCTTGAAGGTTTTTCTGATTTGAATCTGTCTTCTGAAGCTATTGTTCCAGTATTGTCAACCTGAAAATAAATTAATTAATAATTAAGTTTGTGAAAAAAGTGATAATACATTACTTCATGAACATCATCACCCAAAATATCCAAATTAATTTCCTTATATTCAATAGCATCTTCATCCTCGTTTCTGTACAAAGCAGAATCAAATGCTTCATCTCCATCTTCAAGATCATTCTCGGCAGCCAATTCTGGATTAAAGCTGAACATTTCTCTGCCAGAAATTCCAACTTGCCTACCAGCTTTGAAGTCGCTTCTCTTTTTGTCTTCATCTTTTTTAAGAGTTTCTTTTTTCTCTTGTATTTTTCGTTTCTTCCAAGCAAGGAAAGTTTCTAAGGTTACTTTAGTTTGACTAGGGCCTAAAGCTGCTCGTTCCTTTTCAATTAGTTCTTCTAGAGTAATTTCATCTTTTTTGTCATCCTTTTTGCGGTCTTTTTTAAGGACAAATCCTGCTGGTAAGGCATGTCTATAGATGCAACTATCACCAACAGGACATGTCCAGAACCAACCATATTTGGATTTTTCTACTGCTTCAAGGAAATGTTTGCAAATAATATCAGTTGTAGGCATTTTTGCACCACCACCACCATGTTTCTTCTCAATGACTTCTTTTAGTTTTTCTTCATCCCAATTTTCCATAGTGTCATTTTCATCGTCATCTTTTGTCATATCAAAATACAACGATCTTTTTTCAGCTTTCCTTTCAATAGTCAGATCGTGAGAGAATTTACATCTATCCCCTTTGCCGCACTGACCTTGTTTGAAGAAAGCACAAACTATGGATTTTGGATCGGCACCTTTTTCTATTTTTTGAGTTTGGACAGGCTTGAAGAGTAGATTCATTTCTTTTTGTTCTTTCAATTTCGCTTCTTTGTCCAACTTTTTGCTGACTTCTTTGAGTGGATGGAGGCCTCCAGATTTTACTTGTTTTTCGACTTGCTGGATGAACTTTTGTTGTTTCGCTCCTTTTTTGTTTTTTATACCGAATGTCTTGTCCTAAAAATATCAATGGAAAAGTTGTAATTTGAATATTTTGACTAAAGATAGATTACCAACCTCGATAACTTTTTCCTTTTTCTTCTGCTCAGTCTTTTTGCTGGGAGCTCCGGTTGGTGCTTTTTTCGGCGGCATGTTTATTTGAAAACTAATCTAATTGATAAAAATAAATAAAATATTGTTCTTATAGTAATTTTCCTTCGATTTTCTTTGAAAGGGTAAACATCCACATGGATGGTATGGATGGTGGATTTTTCTCCGGTTGCCAAAAAAACTGTCATCTGTCGACTTCAAGTGTTAACACTTCCTACTAGGGATGGAAACCAAATATCGAATTATTGTTGAAATCGATAATTTAAGGCCTGTGTAGATCAAATCTCAAGCCTCCCACCACGCCAAAGGATCAGTGATGACGCGCAGCGTGTCGTTTTCCGCCTTGACGTAGGTTGTTTTCAACACAGGTTATGATTCCGCGGGCTTTTGCTTTATGCATACTTGGTTTTAGTACATTAATTAACATTCTTAAATAACGCTTTTTCAGATCTCGTTTGCATCTTCCTCTTTGCCTATTATGTTAATCAAAATTAAATAATATTTTTCATCATAAATTTATATTCCAAACTACGTCCGCTAGCGCAAACCGCTGACAACGTAGTTGATGACGTCGCCAGTGGTGCTACACAATGGCCGCGATTCCCAAAAACGAGGCCGATAAGCAATCCTGTGTAGTAGTGTGTATTATCCTTGAGTATTGTTGTCATATCTTGCGTTCGGTATTTTGCTCAAAAAGCAGAGCGTGCTGAGAGAAGCCGTAATCACGCGAACAGAGCAGTTGAACGCTGTACCAGAGTACCCGAAATTTTAATAAACGAACGCGACTGAGCCTGCACCTGCACCGAGTACACTTTTTAAATAAACGAACGGTAAATTCAAGCTCGGAGAACTCGGATCAAAATACCGAACGCACGGATAATTGAAAAACAATGCTGCCACACCATTTTTGGTCTTCCATGACCCACTATTTCGTGTAACGTTCACTCAAATCGAATCATCGGGGATCGAAACAAAATCGCACGTCGTTCTAGGTAACCAGAAATAAACTTCACAGAAAAACTTCACCAAATAAATAACTCCACAAAAAATCTTCTAGTCTCGGCTAAAATCTTCAAAATTCTCCGTGAAAAAACAAGTACAAATATACAATGGCAGATTGTTGTCCGTCGATGAGAGGCGTAGCCTGCGTACCTTGTACCCCGCCGCCTGCAGTGCCTATCGCCCCCCTAGCGCAGCCCTGTGCCCCTTCGATCCTTTACTACGTGCCAATGGTCGGTCCGGCCCCTTGTTGCACACCTTGTCCTCCTGCGCCATGTTGCACACCTTGTCCTCCTGCGCCATGTTGCTGTTGCTGTAGCTGTCCACCGCCAAACTCTTGTTGAAACTCATCATACATACCTTTTTAATGTGTTTGAATTGTATAGGTATCTACTTTAACTTAAATAAAACATAAAGGAAGTTTAAATTAATTATTTTTTTATTAATTTCCCGATCACTTGGAAGAAGAAGAAGAAACTGTGGTGTAAGTAAACGGTTTTTGCTTCAAATTAAATAACCGCCAAGACTCTAGAGTAGACTTTATGCACTGGAGCAGATTTCCCTAGGCAGTAAAAGTGGACTTTTACTGCCTAGGCATTAAAAGTGACAGTGTCACAACGTTCCGGGTAAGAATTTCACTCAATTTGCTATTTGAAATTGATGGTGACAATGACAATTGTCAAAATAATTTAATTATTTAGATAATAATAATGAATGAAATAAATATAAAAAAGATATCTATGTGTGAATTTGAAAATTCGGAGAAAAAATTATATGTTTTACATGGCAGAAAAGCAGATTTAATGCCTCGGCTGGTTTCCTAGCCTCGGCTATGCCTCGGCTATGAAACACCAGCCGCGGCAGTAAATTTTGTACTTTTCTGCCTAGTAAAACAATAGTATATTATGCAATGATCATGTAATGATAGCCATTAATACACGAGCATGTTGTAGGATACGAAACGAGCCGCAGGCGAGTTTCGTATATAACATGCGAGTGTATTAATGGCCATTACATGAGAGTTGCATACACTATTTTTTCTACTGCCATTGATAAAACTTGTGATATTTAGATATGTCAACATTTTGCTTAACTTTGAATAGAGATTTTATAATTGAGTAACCCATACAGTTGAAGGTTTCATTTTTTGTTGTAATTCTTCAAAATATACTATCAAAACATTTTTTGAGAAGGACGATGTGTTTTTGGTGTTTCCAATCCATAAATTGTCCATATATTTTTTCGCAAATTTTCTTGGACTTGTCCGGTAGTGTATTTTTACCTGCTTACCTGCATTTGTCGCCCTTTCTGTAATTTCTGGAGGTGTTAGTGAAAATTCTTCGTTATCACTCAATATTTCCATAATAATACCTTATCCCAAACATTAGGTAACTTTTAATAACAATTAGAAGTATTTTTTTCATGAAATTATTGTTTTTTCGCTAAATTACCATGGAAAAGCCATAAACAGAGTGCTGTCATCATTCAAAAAAAAAAAAATCAAAATTTCTTAACTGGTGGCGCCATCTATTGACAATGTATAATAATGACAAAAGTAAAAATTCTTCCTTATCACTCAATTATTTCCATAATAATTATTCTTTGTCCCAAACTTTAGGTAACTTTTAAACAATTCGAAGTATTTTTTATAGTTATCAAAATAATTGTTTTACGCAAAATTACCGTTAAAAATGTTTAATATCTTAACTAGTGCTGCCATCTATCAACATTGTATAATATTAAAAATGAGTATTATAATGAAAATCTGTATCGTAATGAAGTTCATTATAATACAGATTTTAATCGTTTAAAAGCGTATTATGAAATGTCAGTAGAAAAATAACTATTGTTTAGTAAAATTACGTCATCGTCGAAAAGCAAAACGTCAAAGTCGTCCAAAATGTCAGAAATTTGAAATAAGGGAAGTTTATTAGTTGTATTCCTTTCACACCTAGGAGGAGCTCCGGAACAGCTCCGGGGCTTCACGCCCCTATTCCTTTCGAAAGAGCGGTTACACACGTACGTGGATGTCTTAATACATATACGTGCATACATCAACGTGCAAACAACAACGTGCATGGCGCTTTTGTACAGACGCTCGCACAAAGGCGGTTACACACGGACGTGGATGGCTTGATACATATACGTGCATACATCAACGTGCAAACAACAACGTGCATGTAGCGTTTGTACAGACTCTCGCACAAAACTGCAGTCTTGCTATTCTTGCTACGGTGTTCCGAGTGTGCATACAAAATTGCACATTCAAAAACGCGACGATATTTTGCATACACATTGATGTTTTTGTTTGCACGTTCATGTATGTGCGTACATGTTTTCAGCCATCAACGTCCGTGTGTAACCGCCTAAAAGTGTTTGTTGCACCACGCATCTGTTCCCTGCAAATCGGGGGCGACTGAACACCGCAGCGAGTAGCTCGAGTGTTTCAAACTCTTGAAAGGAATACAACTACTGCCTCGCACTAACCATACACAAATAAAGACAAGCAGTAACCTTATTAAGGGAATCCTTATTTTCGAACCCAAATGCGCATGCTTAAATGTCAAAATAAGGCTAATTTAAATACTGCTTGTCCTTATTGCACGTCCAATAACTCTCTAATAAGTGCGACTCCATTCACTTACAAAAGCATAACCAGTCAGAGGCCACCTTGGAGGCCACCTTTAGCGTCGGTCTTCAAACGTTGACCTCAGCACAAAAAGACCCACTTCTTGACCTAATGACATAAACAACTATTATGTTTTAATGACGTCATAACAGCCGCAAATTTTAGATTTTACCATAAAATAAAAATAAAAAGTGGATAATATACGATAAATTCAAGTACTCTGATATATTCTGCTCATGACTACAATAACCACTGTCTAAAAATTCTAAAAAATACTAATATACTCCAATTTCCAATCACACTCTCATAATAATACAGATGTACGAATACAGCGCCTTAAAGATCTGAAAGCAAATTATATGAAAATTACCAAATAAATGTTTTAAATGAGTTACCTGAAATAAAGAAGTAACTTTCACGTCTGCTATCGGTCCGATCGTCATAACTATAGGCTTTTGGGCTCTAATACAAATCATTTGTAAGGATTTGATTACTGTTGGATGGTAACCATTCCAATTTCCTTCAAAAATACTGGCGGCAATTTGTTCGCTCTAAAATATTTGTTTTTGAGTTTTCAGGCAATCAGTCTAGTTCACTCTAATTACCTCAGCAGAAATAGTATGAGCGGCATTGTACGTTAAAAATAGTTGAGTGCTTAGAGTAATAAAATAAGAAAATACTGCTACTCTTTGAAGAGGAGGAAACTGAAAATATTATTAGAGATGAATAAAGTATAAAGTCATGTATAATTGCAATTACTTTGAAAACTTGATACGCAACCAAAGATAATTGAAATGAAGAAATTACAAAATTAATAAGGGTGAAGAGTCTTATAGAGTCATTGATCCTTTTGACGAAACTGAAAAATAATTTTAAAATAAATATTCTATAAAACTGTAAAAACATTTGCATTTACTGTATTATTTGAAGATGCTCTTCAACTAATTTCTTAATCAACAAACATCCAGCTTGTTCCTGAGATATTTCATATTGTCTTCTGAAATTATCAGCAAATACTGAAAATTTTCTTAAAACATTTTGCATAATTTTCAGTTGTGCCGTTACAAAGGAAAGCATGCTGATGTAGAATCCTCCACAATGGACAATATAAGAATAACCAAATCTTAAAAAAGACAATATATATAAGTATAGTGTGGCTTATCATTTATACCTATCCGAAGCAAAAATTGTGACTTACAAACATCCAGTAAATTGTAATAGATATGCGGCCCAATAATACATGTCTGGATCAAACGGGAACCAGCTAAAGACAATAAAATAGTGAATTTTGGTTCCCGTTTCATTGTGATAACCCAAAGGAATAAAGACGTTACTAATTAGCGGCGCAATAAAGTAAAGCGAAATTCCTGTGGTACCCATGATAGTGTAAAATAGCACAATTTTTTTATTGTGAGCGGAGTTTTTGGTGTAAATTTCCACAAATTCGGGATTTTTACTTTCAAAAATTTGCCGTTCTTTTTCTTTTAGCTCATAAATGAGAGTTTTGAATGTTTTCGATTTGAATATCAGAACCTTGTAAGCATTGCTTACGTATTCAATAACGATTCCCATGCTTGAAGCGGTTGTTAAATAATTATCTGACCATGTTAAAATAGCCAGAGCGAGTCCGCTTACGTTGAATATCATGTAATAAACGAATGTTGTCCAAAAATAAGTTTCGTAAAGGATTTGTTTAAAGTTTCCATTTTTGACTGGCCAAATTCCTAGAAGTAACATGGTTTTTCTGACGAAACGCATATGATGGTTTTTGGTATCGACTATAAGAAATTATTAGTGATTACCTATTTGAAGAAAAAAAATACTTGAGTAAAGTGAATTAGGTACTTGCCTTCCGGTAGTAGGTTCTTCATTTTCAAAATGGTTATCACGTTTAATTCAATTTATTATCTTTTATATAAGAATATGATCAAATGAATAATTTATGAAATAATTCTTCATCGGTATAATTACAGGGCATTCTTAAATAAGTTTATTTCATAAGTCTTTGATTTGAATATAATTGGGGTCGTTATATTAAATTTTCAATACATTATTTTAATATCTGTGCAGAACGATGTATACCTATATCATTTTGCTTTTTATCGCAATTTTTAGGAGTAATATTTTTTATTCTTTTAGGATTGGCTTGTCTAGACGGTATAAGTAATTCGGATGAGCTTATCAGCTCATTATAGTAAGATTCTGAAAGCTTTTAGCGTCCTCATCACACGAAAAAGAAAGAATCCATAGATTTACCAATGCACTCTACATGGGTTCGCTTTGCTCATCCCGAGTGACTTATTCGTTCTGACTTTACAAATTTCTTCATACAAGAAAATCTTTTTCTACTACTAACCTGAGAAATAGTTATTATTCAATCTATTTTTCTAGGAGAAAATTGAATTTCTCTCCCTAGGTGAATAATGAAAATAATAAAAAAAAACCTAGGTCAATAATCAAAATGACGTCATGACTCAAGGATATTGTCATGACGCAAGGTTCCTAAAGTTAATAGGTTGTTTATGGCCGTTTCCACCAACTACTTTGGGGAAGCCTTAACGATAAGCATTCCCTAAACTGACAGTTTTCCATGGAGAAATGTCAGTTTAGGGAATACCTGACCTATCGTTAAGGCTTCCCTAAAATAGTTGGTGGAAACGGTCATTAGTAATGGGTAACTTTATGACGCATCTGGGGTGCCTTATGGATATGACAACCTTGGTCATGACGTACCAGGTGGTGCACAAAATGGCGGCGGGATCTCTATTGTTGCCACTGAATGTAAAGGTTTATTCAGTCACTGTGAACTAAACCATTTAAGTGCACGAAAGTCAGCGCATCTGCTAGGGGATTCCATTTGCTAGCGAGATCACGAAATCGAATCGCTTTTGTATACATACCTAATACGAAATCGAGACCGATAGCGCCTAATCCGATATCGTATTGTCAAATATGGAATCCGGGTTTTTGAATAATCATACAATTTTTTATATTTTCGTATGGTTCTCCATGCGTAGGTCGATCGAGTGTACGTCACTGGTATTTTCCTGTTTCTGACTAATCCCTCAAACCTTTCCATGTTAGTATGAATTCAATCCTATTTTACAGTTTTTGAATAATCATAGGTACAGGGTGAATCACCATATTTTGACACCCACCCATTACAGGTGATATAGGTAAAAGGTGTAAATATAAAAGTTGTAGCATTTTATCTGAACCGCCAGAATTTTTAATTAGATTGAACAAATGAGCAACGCAAAGTGAAAAAATATGTCAATGTTCACTTTTTTAAATGGAATACCCTTTATTTTCTTCCAAATTCTTACAGTTCTCGATTTTCTGATTCAGATTATATGATATGTAATTGTTTTTTTCAATAGTTTTGGAAATATCTGGAGTTTATAGTTATTCAAAGACAGTATAGTTTTTTGAATATTTTACCTTGATTTACCTGTCACCTGTTCACAAAACATTCTGATCCGTGAATAGGTCTTTGAATAACTAAACTCCATATATTTCCAAAACTATTGAAAGAAACAATAATATATTATATAATTTGAATCAGAAAAACGAGAACTTTACCAATTTGAAAGAAAATAAAGTGCATTCCATTTAAAAAAAGTGAACATAGACATATTTTCTCATTTTGTGTTGCTCATTTTATCAATCTAATTAAAAATTCTGGTGGTTCAGATAAAATGCTACAACTTTTGTATTTACACCTTTCACCTATCACCTGTAATTACGGCTGCCCTCAAAGTGCTTTGGGCTTGGCAAGCACAAAGCCCTCAAAGAGATTTGAAAAGTGCTAGAAGCACACAAAATGTTCCTATTTCTGACTACCCCCTCAACCTTTCCATGTTAGTATGAATTCAATCCTATGTACAGTTTTCGAATAATCATACAGATGCCTACGTACAGGGTGGCCCGTTTAAGAGGGGCCTATACCGTATCTCGAAATCTACAAGGGCTGTGAAAAAAATGTAAATACAAAAGTTTTTTCTAATAAAATTAGCTACAACTTTTTTGTATTTTTTTTAGTGTCACTCTACTATATACAGGGTGAACAAATGAAATTTCATTTTTTTTAAATGGAACACCCTATATTTCGATACATTTTTAAATAGCTCTTTGAATGACAAATTCAACGGTATACTGGTCATGTGTCTGTGGTATACCGTGTCGAACTTATTAGCGACTATCTTCAGGATTTGGCGTAATTTTAAACAGTCATTATTGCGTTACTCATAAACTTTTTAAACTTTTTTTTGCATGATATTTTCTATAAAATAATGCTCTTCTTTAGACTATGGTCAAATTTGAAATATTTGTTTAAAAAACGCGGTGTTGCCACGTTTCGCAAAATGTTAAATTTTTCAATTTTTTCAAATGGGACCTCCTAGTTTTTGGATAGCCCTTTTAAAGACAAATTCAACGATATACTAGAAATGGGTCTGTGATGCACCGTTTCGGCCTGAAAAACGTGGCAACACCGGGTTTTTTGAACAAATATTTCAATTTGACTATAATCTGAAGAAAAGCATTATTTTATAGAAAATATCTTGCAAAAAAAAAGTTTAAAAAGTTTATGAGTAACGTAACAATGACTGTTGAAAATTACGCCAAATCCTGAAGATAGTCGCTAATAAGTTCGAAACGGTATATCACAGACACATGACCAGTATACTGTTGAATTTGTCTTTCAAAGAGCTATTTAAAAATGTATTAAAATATAGGGTATTCCATTTTAAAAAAATGAATTTTCATTTGTTCACCCTGTATATAGTAGAGTGACACCAAAAAAAATACAAAAAAGTTGTAGATAATTTTATTAGAAACAACTTTTGTATTTAAATTTTTTTTACAGCCCTTGTAGATTTCGAGATAAGAGGCCTGTTCGAGAGCAAATTTCATTGGTTGAAAACAATCAGAAACAGTCAGAAAACTATTTTCAACCAATGAGATTCACTATGACTGGTTTGTGATTGTTCTGCGAACAGGCCTAAGGTATAGGCCCCTCTTAAACGGGCCACCCTGTACAGTTTTTGAATAATCATAGTAAATTATAGACCGCTTTTTGCTGCTCCGACTCTAGACGCTCCGAGTACATTATCGTATCTATAAAAGAAAACGCTACGGAACCAACAAATATTGGTCGGGTTCATCCAGAGCCGCTTTCCAGTATGGGAGTGTGACGCCCGGAGCTACTCGGGGCTTGAGCCCCCGAGCTGTTCGTACGCGTCAACCTATCAGCTGTCACATCTGTGGGTGGCTATTTATCTATTTATTTCTTGTTATATCTCAAGATTGAACATTTTAAAATACATAGTTTTGATTCTCTTTCATTTATGATAAATAAAAAAACAAACTGCACAAACAAACAGATAGTTATTTTTAAAATTTGACATATTTGACACTAACACAGGCGTCTCACGCCATGATACTGGAACGGTATAAATCTAGTGCGTGGCGCCCCCGAGGTGCTCTGGAGCGCGCCAGAGCGCGCCAATGTGCATACTGGAAAGCGGCTCAGGACGTAGCGCTACAGTAGCAATCATCAACAGTGTTGCCAGTTTATTACAAATGTAGCAAATCTATTACATTTATCAAAGGTTAATTATTTACATTATTACATTTCCAATAAATCTATTATATTATCACTTATTTAATCAAAAATTATTAAAATTAATGAGTTCCGCTTGAAACACTGAGCGGTCGGACCATTTTCCATCTTTTTTCCTTTTGGTGAAAAGAACAGGGATAAAATTTGCTACAATTGTAATAATTTGGCAACACTGCTGATGATCGCTATTGTAGCGCTACGTCCTGCGTTCAGGAATGCTACAGCCAAGCCAAAATTGGCATTTTGCGTTCGAGTTCGGCTGTGGTTCGGCATTACCGGTGGAAGGGGAAAAGTAGGTTTTGGAATTAGCATTGCCGTCCTTGAACGCACCCCTGATGAACCCGACCTTCCGTCTACTTGCGTCTATATCTCAACGTGACTCCTTCAGTATGCGCGTGCGCCTACTTTCCACAGAAGATTTTTAGGTTAGGTTTTCTTGTTTTGTTTTGATTTTGATCTTGTGCTTTTAAGTTTCGTAATTTTGTTTCTACCGACGCTGAAGTTTCTATCCACCCCGTTTAGGGTAATTTTTTGAGTTACATATCTGTCGATTCGTGTCGTGATGGAGGATGGAGGAAAACAGTAAAAACATTGAAAAGGGCTCGGAAATAAGTAAAAGTAATACAAATGAGTAAGTCTAATGAGAAGTAAGTCCAGAAGAGAAGATGAATCCAGATTTTGTAGATATGTATATGTCTGCACTTGGTGTTCCAAAACATTTTCAAAGCAGTGCAATTTGAGCAGGCATACCAAAAATATACATGATTCGTTGGTGGCTGGAAGGAAAAAAACAATATTGTGCCCTTTGTGTAACACATTGTTTGGGTTCTACACTGAATTGGACACGCATTTAGAGTCTGCGCATTCCACTCCTGTGAAATTAAAGAAGCAGACATTTTTAAATGCCGAAGAATTTCAAAATTGGAAACATCAAGTTGAGATTGAAACAAAGTCTTGTTTTCGGAACTTGAATTCAACTACTCAAGGATCAAAAAAGATAACGAAATATGTCTGCCATCGAAGTGGACATTACAACATGGGAAAAACAAACCGCCAGCGGGCAATTAAAGTGAGTAGACAAAAAGGTATAATTACTCAATAATAGACACATTTGTGGCAAAAATTATGAAATATTGCTAACTTTAGTTATATCAATAGGTTATTTTTTGGAATTCTAACGGTTTGGTGGAAATCAAGGTGAAAATAAATATATTATCATGAAGATTTTATTCGCATATAATTTCTTAATATTTAATACACAATTTAAAAAAAAAAATAACTTAGCAAGTGTGTTTATTTTTGGAAAAATATTGTATAAAAGGAAAAATGTATTTTAGGTAAAAGGATCGAACAAAGTGAATGCCCACTGTCCAGCAAGGATTATTTCAACGGAAGAAAACAATGTTACAATTCAATATTATGAAACACATGTTGGACATACACAGGATGTTGGTAGGCTACGACTAATGAAAAGTGAGAGAGAAGCAATTGCTGCAAAATTATTTCAAGGTATATCACATCAGTGTATATTAAAAGATATTGGTCAGGAGTTTGATCCATCTAAAAGACTCTCTTACACAACAAATCATGATATACATAGCGTAAAATCAGCATTTAATATCCATTCAGATGTAATTTTTCACCAAGATGATGCTGCTAGCGTAGATATTTTGGTGAATAAGCTAAAACCTATATTTAAAACTTCAGAAGATAATCCTATCCTAGCATACAAGCCCTATGGTGTTGAGGACTCTACCGTAGGCACTGATAACTTCTTTTTAGTATTTATGAATCCTGCTCAACAGGAATTGCTAAGTATGTATGCAAATGATGTACTAATGATTGATTCAACACATGGGACTAATCCTTACAAAATCCAGTTAACAACTCTCATGGTTGCTGATAAAAATTCAGAAGGATTTCCAGTCGCATTTCTTTGGTCAATTAATCAAAATGAAAATATTTTTATACAATTTTTTGAATGCATTAAGAAAAGAGTACCAAATATTTCCCCCAATTATTTTATGTCTGATGACACAAATACGTTTTATAATGCGTTCACAAAAGTATTTTCACTTTTTCCCAAAAAACTACTGTGTGACTGGCATATTAAAAAAAACTTATTTGAAAATTTATCTAAGATTCCTATAGCAGAAAAAAAGAAAGAAGTTAAAATAACTTTAAAACTTCTGATTAATGAAATAGATATATGTACATTTGAAAAATCTCTTCCAACTTTTATTCAAAAGCTTATACAGGACCCTGACACTGAAAAATATGGCTTGTATTTTTTTAAATATTATGGAAATAGATCAGAACAATGGGCACATTGTTATAAAAAAGGATCCCATCGAAATACAAACATGGCACTGGAAAGATGGCATCAAGAAATAAAGCACAATGCTACTGTTGGTGGCAGATGTCAGCAAAGGCTAGACGCTAGTATTACAAATGTGTTGGAGTGTCTTCGTCTGAAGTTTATGAAAAGATTAGTATATATATCACGCAACAAGGTTCCTCCTAAATTACATGTTTTAAGAAAAAGGCACAAGGTGGCTTGTGAAGTTTTAAACGAAACTGTTGTTGAAAAAGACACTTTCAATACTTTTCTTGTTGCTTCCTCGAAAAATAAAGACTCAAAGTCGTTACTTGAGTATTACACAATTACACTGCAGTGTATGGAAGAAAAATGTAGTTGTCTCCTCTTCTGCACAGAATGTAATTTCTGTTTGCATATGTTTTCCTGCACCTGTTACGATTATGCTGTCCAATACAACATGTGTAAACACATACATTTAGTTTGCATTTCATTTTTTAAAAATAAAGATAGCCACTCTGACACTTCTGAGAGTATTTTAATGGTAAATGAAAATAATAATATTGAACTAAATGAGCATAAAACTATTTCAAATCATTTAATAAACCAAGAAGCTTCAATTGAGTCAAAGGAACTTGAAACAAGAAGAAAAGCTGTAAATGAGCAAATGTCCACTTTACTTGCTGATATATCGAAGTGTCAGAGTTATGAGGCTCTATTATATGTTTCAAAAAATCTACAAACAATTAAATCAGGGATGAATGCAATTGAACGCCATTCCGTCCACAGCATTGTGCCTGAGACCAAATGTAGCCATAATAAAAAAGCTGAACACCAGAGAAGATATTTCGCGCCATTAAAAAAGGCAAAAAGTACAAAGAGTAAAACTAGAATTCCTGACTGTGATGACCCTCGTTTGGTGTCACTTAATTTAACGTTGCCATAAGATACCTATATACCTGAATAGACAGGGTGTCCTGTTGTTTATTTACTTTTTATGCCCGATGTATTATTATAATCTCTTGTAGTATTGTATTAGGTATAATCCCTGCCCCAGATAATCAAGATTTCTACAAAAAATGATTTCTTTGTCGGCGATGCCCGGATAAACAAAAACAAAAAATTGATGGTCTTGGACTAAATTTTTTCTCAACCCTTATGTGTAGAGTTTTCGCAGCAGGTTTTGTTTATCCGGGCATCGCCGACAGAGAAATCATTTTTCGTAGGAATCTCGATTATCTCTGACGGGGACTACCAGATACTTCATTTTCTATTTTATGTGCAATTTGATTTATTCTGTGTCAAAATAAATTTTTCACCCAAATACATAAAGATCGTTTCACCAGGGTTCATACTTGTCCTTGAAACTTGAAAAAAAAAGGGTTGTCCTTGATTATTTCATATGACACATTCAATTTTTTTGACAAATTAAAATGAATGACTTCTGGTTTAAGAACCGACGAACGTTTTTGACGTTATTGATTTGATTCAGCCAATTTCTATTTGTTAAACAAGGAAGGCAAATGCTGTTGGCAAGTACAAACCCTGGTGAAACAAACTTTATGTTTGTGTTTTATTTATTACAGATATGAATAGTGGGCTAGATTGGGTTTCTTGTGCAAATTTTTTGCTAACTAGAAAATTATCCTAAACCGGGTGGATAGAAATTTCAGGGTCAGTAGAACCAAAATTAGAGAATTTGGTAACAAGGTACAAGATCAAAATCAAATCAAAACAAAACAAGAAAACCTAACCTAAAAATCTTCTGTGGAAAGTAGGCGCACGCGTATACTGAAGGAGTCACGTTGAGATATAGACGCAAGTCCTTCCGTCTGGGTTTTTAAACTTTCCTGCAAAAAAAAAATTGAATAATTCATTTCATTCTAATCTTATTCGTAATAATTCTTCAACAATGTCACCTCCAAAACATATTAAATTAAATAACGGCATTGAATTGGCTACAATTGGCTTGGGAACTTACAGGGTAAGTTTCAAATATTGTATTTACTCTTTAAAATTAAAAAAAATTATCAGTCTCAGCCGGGCCAAGTCGAAGAAGCTGTAAAAGCCGCTATCGACATTGGATATCGTCATTTCGATTGCGCCTCGATTTACGGCAATGAAAAAGAAGTAGGCAACGCTATCAATGAGAAAATTGCCAGTGGTACAGTTAAAAGAGAAGAATTATTCATTACTAGTAAAGTATTATATTCCCAAAATATTCTTGGCTTAAATTATGCAAATATTTTTATTTGCAGTTATGGAACAATTTCCATGTCAAAGCTGCAGTAGTACCAAAACTCAAAGAGAGCCTGGAAGCTTTCAATCTAGACTACCTAGACCTCTATCTGGTTCATTGGCCTTATGCCTTCAAAGAAGATGGTCCTTTATTGCCAACTGGAAATGTTAAAGAATTCTTCAGCGATATAGATTATTTGGAAACTTGGCAAGGCATGGAAGAAGCTGTCAAATTAGGCCTAACAAAATCCATTGGCGTTTCAAATTTTAATGCGGAGCAAATTGATAGACTGGTCAAAAATTGCACTGTAAAACCTGTAGTGAATCAGGTCGAATGCAACCCAAATTTGAACCAAAAAAAGCTGATCAAATTCTGTCAGGATAGAGAAGTAGTTGTGGTAGGATATTGTCCATTGGGTAGAAGCGAGTACGTTGGCAGACCAGGTTTTCCAGAACCAACAATTTTTGATGCTAAAGTTGCCGAAATCGGCAAGAAATTCAATAAAACTTCAGCTCAAGTTGTACTAAATTACATTATCAATAACTTAGGTGTTGTGGTTATTCCTAAATCGGTAAGTCCTTCAAGGATTAAGGAGAATTTTGAAGTTTTCGATTTTGTTTTGGACTGTCAGGATGTTGCGTATTTGGATTCATGCAATAAAAATCAAAGAGTATGTCCTTCGAGTGATTTTAAAGATCACAAATATTACAGTTTTAATGCTGAATTTTAAGGGATTTACTCTTGTTGAAGCTTATTAATAATAAAGGATTTTTTTTATTTTGTAGCTTTGTTAAAAGTTGAATATTTATCAGTTAATTATAGCATTTTATGTATCACCAGTTGTTTAATGCTTATGTATTTTATTTTCTCAAATATAATATTTTGATAATAATGATAATTTTTTTAATAAGAGTTCGCCACAAGAATCATAAACTCTCATCCTAATGGCGTACGTTCGCCAATGTCGAGACGGCAGCAGGTCTGCAAGTGACGTCAGCACTATTAGCAGTTACACCAAGAGTTGAGGTCTGCGGCTGAAACAGTAGAAACACTTTCAGCTCAATAAGCAGTCCTATTAGGTTAAGTATTCACTCAAAAAGATCATTCAGGACTGTTTTAAAAGATTACAAATTTCACTATCGATATAGATTTAAGATTTGCTTCTATCGATAACAAAGTATCGACAACCATTCTCGGGTTAGAGCTGGGTATGGGGGGGCGAGACATAAAAAGTGATCTAGATTAGGTGGGGGGCCAATGGTGTGAGCAAATAGGGACACAGTTCAAGTTCAATATTTCATAAATTTTTGCCACAATCCATAATTAGTCAGAAATGTGCTTTTGTTGCATCCTAAAAAGTACTAAAATTAGATAAAATGAAAATGTTCCTATAGTATTTTGGAACAAAAAAACTGGATAAATTATTCTAGGTTAAGTTTCATTAGTGCCTGTGTAGTCAGTGGTGGTTCAACATAATTTTTTCTCTGTTAAAAAAGGGGCTGAGATTATTATATAACGATGAAATTCAAAGTGAATAAACCTTTGGTGCCTATGAAGGCCCATTACTTTTTGTTGAACGCTGGTAAGTTATTTTTTTTTATTTACAAGTGTTTTTAATAATTCAAGATAATTATTTCTTATCAATATTTCATTGGAGTCCTTTAGAGCTTCTTTGTGTGGCTTCGGCTTCACTGAATATTTCATATACAGGGTGTCACGATAACTTAAAGTACATGGGCAAAAGTTGTTCAATCAAGTGTCTACAAATAAATAATCATCAACTTCTTTGAACTTCGGAACAGCAATGCATATACAGAGCAAAAAAAAAAGTGCATTTTATAAAAACTTTTATGTCTTGTTTACATAAAAGATGCAATCCAGAAGTTCAAAGAAGTTGATGCCAGATTTTTGTAGGCACTCTATTGTGCAAATTTTCCCTCATTTGGTCCGACCTGTATCTTCAATGGTTTCCAAAATCCCCATATACCGGGTGATTGTTTATATTTTGCACCCACACCCAAGGTTGTTTGAGAGAGGTAAGTTGCCTGATAACTTTTATGACATCATCTGGCGTGCCTCAACACAATGCAAATCTTCATGAGGCACTCTGAATGACTTAATCAAGTTACTTATTACCAGACAACCTATTAACTTTAGGAACCTTGACATACACCTATCTCACCTGTTTGAAGAGATACCCAGAAAAGTCAAATGTGAATGTTGTAGGTAATATCAGAAAGTTTTCAATGAAGTTGGTTACAAATATACAGGGTGTGTCAGTGTCACAAAAGTGTAGCAAAGTAGAGTTAAACTTTTTTAAATGGAACACCTGGTATATTATTGACCCATTCGATTAGCCTTTCAAACCTCTTTTGTACACTCGTGTGATTTTGGCACTCGGCTACCGCCTCGCGCGAAAAAAACACTTGTGTGAAATTTGTCACTTTCTACACTCGTAATGTAATATACTATTTACTAAGATTCATATTTAGTCCTATCTTCTTTGACTGTGTGTTTAGTTCATTTAGCATTGTACCTACCTAGCTCTTGTCTGTCGGAGCTTATCAATACAATATCGACCGGAAATCTCAAGACTTCCATCTATGTTTATTCCCTTGTCTGCTCAATGTATTGTTTTAAAAACGTTTTCCAATGCTGAAGAGAAAAGTTTTGGCGATATGGTATCACCTTCTCTCACTCTTTTGGGGGAAATTTTGTTCGTCTTCATGTCATCATCGATTATTATATGAAACGTTGCTTGTTGGTATATGTTCTTTAGGAGGAGAGAATAGCGTGAATCGATTCAGGCGTCGTCCATTGTCTCAAGAAACGACCATGTCTCAATGCTATCAAAAGCTTTATGATAATCTACAAAAGCCATATGTAGGGGGATATTATATTCTGAAGTTTTTTCTATAAGTTTTCTTATGGTCTGTAGGTGATCGGTGGTGGAAAATCACTTGCGGAATCCTGCCTGTTCGACTGGTTGATAGAAATCGTATTTTGTTGTTAAACGGTTCATAATGATTTTTGTGAGTAGCTTATATAAATGAGAAAGCAGGCTAATAAGAACGATGATTCTCTATGTTTCTTGTTATCTCCATTTTTAAATAGAAGTGTCACTTCTGCATTTTTCCATATTTTTGGTATTTTTCCTTCTGAGAGGCATTTATTGAGTAGTGTTTTGGGTAAATATGCAGTACAGCTCGGTCACCTAAAATGGTATTTTTTTGAATAAGAATCGTTTGTTTAACGTTCAAATAGTGCATTTTGAAGAAAATTTTCAAGCGGAAATCTTTAATTTAAAAATTACAAATTAAAATTATATTGAAAATACTCAAAAAAATAGGTATTTTAGGTGACCGGGCTATACTGCACTTTATCCCCTAAATAAATATGCATTATAGCCCGGTCACCTAAAATGGTATTTTTTTTGAATAAGAATCGTTTGTTTAAACGTTCAAATAGTGCATTTTGAAGAAAATTTTCTAGCGGAAATCTTTAATTCAAAAATTACATATATTGAAAATACTCAATTTTTTTTAATTTTAGGTGACCGGGCTATACTGCACTTTATCCCCTAAATAAATATGCAGTATAGCCCGGTCACCTAAAATAGTATTTTTTTGAATAAGAATCGTTTGTTTAACGTTCAAATAAAGCATTTTAAAGTGACTGTTTCAGCGGAAATATTCAATTGAAAAGTTAAAAATTAAAATTTTTATTTGCAACCGAGCTATAATGCACTTTTTCCCCTAAATAAAAATGCAGTATAGCCGGTCACCTAAAGAAATTTTTATTTTTTTATTTATTTATTTATTTATTTCCATTTCAAATTACACAAATTCATACAATAAGAACTGTAAAAATAAACATAAATTGAATGACGTCAAAAAAAAAAAAAAAAATTCTACAAACAATCAATATCATAGGATTAACACTACTCATTCCTAGCTATTCATATACTCTTCAATATTATAGGGCTCAAGATTAATTAGAAACTGCTTTAATTTTTGCATAAAATGTTTTTCATTTGTTGTATTTTTTATGTCATTACTTAATTTATTGTGAAGTCTGACACCCATATAGTAGGGATTTAATTAAGAAAATGCAGATTAATCCAAACTAACCCTTACTAACCCGTCCGTATAGTGCTAGTCTTGATGCTAGTAGTCTGCATAAGTGAAATACTGTTTATTTTTAACCAACTTTTACTACTGCTCTTTACCCCCTAAATAAATATGCAGTAGGTATAGCCTGGTCACCGAAAATATTTTTTTAAAATTCAAAATCGTTTGTTTAACATCCAAATAGTGAATGTTAAATAAAATTTTCTAAAGGAAAGTTTTAATTGAAAAATTACACTGACAATAAATTCTTTGAATTTATACGATATTGGTTTAAAATGCCTACCTACTAAAGATATGTTATCACTATGTTTAAATAAAGTTGTGTTTATTTCTGTAAATACAAATTGTTTTTAAAATCTTGCAAACCTTAACATGTCGAAATTGTCCCACTCTCCCCTACTGCATATTTATTTAGGGCCGAAAGTGCAGTATAGGTCAGTTACAAATAAACAGTATTTTACTTCTGCGGACTAGCTAGCACTATACGGACGGGTTAGTAAGAGTTAGTTTGATTTAATCTGCATTTTCTTAATTAAAAAAAATACTCTTTAGGTTTCCGGGCTATACTGCATATTTATTTAGGGAAAAAGTGCATTATAGCTCGGTTACAAATAAATAGTATTTTCAGTACAATTTTAATTTGTAATTTTTCAATTAAAGATTTTCAGATTTCCGGTGAAAAATTTTCTTTGAAATGCACTATTTGGATGTTTAACAAACAAATTTTAATGGAAAAAAAATACATTCTAGGTGACCGGGCTATACTGCATATTTATTTAGGGGATAAAGTGCAGTATAGCCCGGTCACCTAAAATACCCATTTTTTCGAGTATTTTCAATATGATTTTAATTTGTAATTTTTAAATTAAAGATTTCCGCTGGAAAATTTTCTTCAAAATGCACTATTTGAACGTTAAACAAACGATTCTTATTAAAAAAAAATGCTATTTTAGGTGACCGGGCTATACTGCACTTTTACCGTGTTTTGATATGGTTCATAAGTTCGTTGCCTCTCAATTTTAGCATCTCTACGGTTATGTGGTCTTCCCTGGAGATTTTTTATTTTTTTAATGGCTAAAAGCGTGTTTTAGTTCTGACGACGTAATTTCGGGTATTTCTTCTGAGCCCATGTTTAGAATTTTCCCCGTTTCTAAATGTGGTTTTGGTATTGTAGACGTATAGAGGTTTTTATAAAAGTGCTGAGTTTCGTCCACAATGGATTTCTTATCGCTCACAAGTACTCCTTGTTGATTTTTGATGTTTATAATTTTTTGTTTTCCGTTGGATGACTTGGTTTTCAGTACTTTCATATTTTTGTTGGCTTCGATTGTTTCTAAGATTTGTTTAGTTGTATAAGTTCTCAGGTCTGTCCTTATAATTTTTTTCACTCTTGCATTCTTCTCGTTGTATTTTTCTCTATATATTTTTTTATTTTGCTGTTTTTTCTCTATTCCTAATTTTTTTAAAAATGAATATTTCATTTTTTTCTTCTACATATACCAAAAATACAACCCCTTTTTACCCTCCAACACCGCTCGCCAATGGTAAATGAAAATGTTTACTATGTCAAATAGTTCATTTTTCTGATATGCAATCACCACCAAAATTTGAATAAAATCGCATTGATAATAACTGAGATATCGGGGTGTATTCATGAATAGTGGGAGACACTGTATGTACATATACATACATTTTGCCTCACAACATTGTTAATTTTGATCCAAAGTTAATGTAATAAGGCTTAAATTGAAGCCATCTAAATTTCCAATATCTAGTTCAATGTTTAATAGTTTCATTGAAGCTCCAAATTTGTTAGACTATCTCAAGGACTAAGTATTGGTTTTTATGCAAGCAGAAGAAAATGTTAATTTTTCCCCCTAAATTTCTATTTCTATCCTCCAAACATTTTGATGATAGTCCTCAGGTCAACAATAAGGCATTCATATAAACTTGATTTTCCTATAGACTGATTGATTCCTTCCTGATCAAAAGTTTCACCAAATTGCATAATCCTAGCCTAACCATTAATTTAATAATTTCATTGTTTCTTTTAGCCCTCTCATATCCTAGTAAAAAAGCAAAGTCGAAAAAACCTTTACTAATCATTATATTTATTGACAGTTTATAGGTATATTGTAATTATAAAACCGCTTTCCAAGTAACCTAATAAATTGTTTAATCCTCAGTTTAATCAATGGCCATTAAAAAAATTTAAATCAAACAATAGGCCATTAACTTATAAATTGAAATGATTACGAACAATCTTGTTAATAAATGGTAGCGCGAACGTCATTAAAATCACTTTAAAAGCTAGACTTTAATTTGGCCTTCAAGGATTTCAGTTTTTAATTCAAACATTGCATTCGTTCAAATTTAAGAAAATAAAACTTATAGGATTATTCAATAATAGAAAAATACACCTTTTTAAGTGCAAACAGCTAATAATTTAACGTGTATCTTTTTTTATTAGCTTGGTGCATTTGTTGCAATGCAATGCTTTTATCATTAAATATCATTATTATGCAAAGGGAAAAATTATGCAGTGTAATCCTTCTTAGACAAGACTCATTTTTTGGCCTTGGCTTTAGAATTTAATTATGACTTAGAAATTCCACATATTATTACTTTTGTAAATTGTATTTCTATTACTGACATTGTATTTAATTATCCATAATTATACTTCCAAGCCTCTCTGGAAGTCAAGTACCTAGGGATAAATTTTAAATAAATAAAAATAAATTGATTGCGAAAATTTGTTTTTTTTTCAGGCACAGGTCCAGTGGTCCCCTACCTATCTATATATGCCAGACAATTGGGCTTTAGTAGTGTAGTTGTAGGATTAATTTACACAATATTACCAGTATTCGGTATGATAGTCAAGCCAACCGTCGGAGCTATATCCGACAGATTTCATTGCCAGAAAACAATATTTTTAATAGGTAGATGGATTTGAGAAAATAATATGGAATTTTAGACTTAAAACAATTTTTTTTAGCTCAATTATTAACCGCAGTAGCCTTTTTGTCGATATTTTATGCCCCAAAAGTGCCCATACAAAGTCTGGCCAGTTATTCTTGTTTAGGCACTGAGTCGATGTTTTCTAATGTAGCTGGAGTCACGATAGATAGCAAATTGGTGGAGAAAATTCAAAATCAGAAAGCTACAACCAGCTGTGAGGTAATATTGATTATGTTTGTTGTATAATAAATAGGAATTCCATTCCATTCTTACAATTTCTTCCAAGCAAACAACAAAGAGGAAAAATCCTCCATTCTATTTTTGAGCTTTTATGCACGGATTATTTTGCTCTATAACAAGAGACTCTAAATTATAAATCCTGAAAGTTTAGCATCAGTCTGAAACCTTGAAGTATTTTTAGATGCCAAAAGCGATATTTTGAAATGAGAAGTATTTTTCAGAGGCTCTCAAATGTGATTTAAGGGGATTTTTTCAATTTCCTTCAAACTTCAACAAAGTTAAAAAAATCGTTACTCTATTTCTGAGCTCTAACTCCACTTCAAGAATATTTTACCTTATGAAAGAGACTCTAATCTATAAATCCTTTAAGTTTAAGCTCACTGTGACACCTGGAAGTATTTTTCAGAGGCTTGAGGGGATTTTTTCAATTTCCTGCAAACTTCAAAAAGAAAAAAATCGTAACTCTATTTCTGAGTTCCAACTCCATTTCAAGAATATTTTGTCCTAAAGGAAAAGATTCCAATGCATAAATCCTGAAAGTTTCATGTCACTCTGATGCCTAGAAGTATTTTCTAGGGGCTCCCAAATGCGATTTTATGGGATTTTTTTAGTTTTTTCCAGCAATACTTCAAACAAAAATTCCTAACTCTATCTTTGAGCTCCAATCTACTTCAAGATTATGTTGCCCTATTAAAAAGACACTAATTTATAAATTCTAGAAGTTTAACGTCACTGTGACGCCTTAAAGTATTCTTATACTTAACTTCTTTGAAAAAGGTAAACCTGTTGAAATAATAAATCTTGAATTATTTCAGCTCGTTTGCCAAATGTCCTCCAACGATTTGAACATTATTTGTTCCGAATGGAATCTCACCCAATACTGTGGCAACAGTCTATCTTCACAGCTTCAATCAGTAAATTTCACAGCTATGGTACCATTAGCAGAAACCAATTTATTCAAGAGTAAGTGACACTCAAACTTTAAACAAAAAACTTATCAATTTTTTTTTTGCAGACACCACTTTTATAGATGGCCAAAATGTAACAAACCAAAGGGCAGAATTTATGGCAACTAGTATAAACGACAATGGCAGAATTTTTACTCCATCATGCTCACTTCCTATAAGAACCACCTGTAATATTGCCTGTGATAAAAAGGATATCGAGTCACTACTACTAAGAACCGAGGTAATAGTTAGCTTCAAAATACCAACAAAAATTATATATTTCAACCTTTACAGATTCCAGACTCTGAAGCCTATAGTACTTATCAATTTTGGGTGTTTTTGTTGCTAATGATTGTGGCTTGGTGCGGACAAGCAGCAGCGGTCAGTCTAGGCGATGCTATTTGTTTTGAACTGTTAGGTGACAAACCTAATAGATACGGCTACCAAAGAATGTACGGGGCACTCGGTTGGGGCCTTCTGTCATTGTTAACCGGAGTACTAGTAGATGTGTTGAGTAAAAATAAGGCTCAGCCAGACTATACTATTTGCTTTTATATGGCTGCTGCGTTTTTGGTTGTAGATTTTATTGTTTCTAGTAGAATACAGGTAAGATTTTAATAATGTTTTTTTTTTAAATTTAATTTACTTGAGTTTTTTTAGTACTCTCAATCAAAATTATCCACAAGCATCCTTAAAGATGTGGGAAAACTTCTACTAAACATCCGCATAATCGTTTTTTTGCTGTGGTGTATTTGCGTGGGAATGTGTACAGGATTGGTCTGGCAATTTCTACTATGGCTAGTTCAAGATTTGGCAACAGCTCAAGGCCAAACGAGGATAAAAACTTTGCAGGGCATCATTATGGGCGTACAATGCCTGGGAGGCGAACTGCCCTTTTTCTTTTTGTCTGGGAAGATTTTAAAGAAAATCGGACATATTTCTGCTATGTCTTTGGTATTGTTTGCCATTGGCGTACGTTTTGTGCTCTATTCGGTCATAGATAACCCTTGGTATTTTATACCTATTGAGTTCAGTAACGGATTGACGTTTGGGCTGTTTTACGCTTGCATGGCTTCGTATGCTAGTATTGTGGCTCCTGCTGGAACTGAAGCTACAATGCAGGTAAGAATTTACGTAGAATTGATTTGGAGAGGCCATTAGCTAATGATTTAACCTCGGATTTAACTTTAAACTGTCTCGGAAAAAGTCATAAGTATGAAATTTGAAAATGATCAACTACAGGTTTGAGTTTTTGCACAGTTTCACAACTCCAGTAACTTCAATCTGATCTTAGGCATAATTAAGCTCAAATTCAAGACGATCAAATCCCCTTTCAGCTTCAAATCGACAAGCTAAGAATACAATTTTCAGGCTTTTCCAACCTTTTCAACTTCAAATTGAAACTTTAGACATGCTATTAGAAGAGAATTTCCATGCTTCTCTATAGTTCCAATTCCAGCTCCAGGAGAGCTGGTAATAAAATTTTTGCGCTTCTCAACAATAACAGGTCAAGTGCAAAATGCCTTGAATTCTTGAATATAATCAAAAACTTGAGTGAGGAAAAAGGACTCTCCATAAATCCCAGCAGTTTACGATGAGAAAAATATCACAAACTTCATTTGCCATTTGGACATGCCGCAAACTCGTGGGAAAAACATGGGGGATAAGACTAAAAATGGTATACTGGATTTACCAAACAGTTTTCAGACCCATTGTCACCTATCGCCTTGTTGGTATGGTGGCGCAAAGACTGAGCAAATTACTGCACAGAACAGTCTATGTAAAAAACAAAGGCTAATCTGTCTAGGATAATAGGGACTATGTCTTTAGTTGACCCAGTAATACGATTTTCATACTTCTCTAGTTCAAATTTCAGCTTTAAAACCCAGAATAGGATCTTAACACAAAAAATTTCTCTTTATGCCGCTTTATTTTATACAAACAATCATGTCAAAAGCATTATGAGGTTAAATTAATTGCTAAAACCCTTTTAAAAGAAAGGAATATGTTGATTTGAAAATTAGCCATTGAATAAATTCACAACTAAAATTCTGTTTATTAGGGTATGGTTGGTGCAGTGTTCGAAGGAGTCGGCGTATCCCTAGGTAGTCTTCTAGCTGGATTAGCTCAGTCGAAAGTCTCTGGTTCTCTGACGTTCCGGTACTTTGGTTTCGGAGCGCTGGCAGCCAGCGTACTTCACTTGATTGTACAGTATTTTTTAAAAGCTCAAGGTAATACTTTTGTTCAGGAAGCAGGTAAAACGGATTTGACTGAAAGTAGTGGATATTTAAATGAGAACGAGAAAGCATGAGTTATACTGTATTTTTTTTTATGGCTGTAGTTATTTAGTATGTAGTGAATAAATTGTTTTTAGGAATATTTTTATTATTTATTTATTAGTAATGTTTTATCCTCCAAAACAAGCAGTATAAATTTATCTCCTATAATAACTGCACCCCTTTCAACAGATTCACCAGTGGTGGACAGGAGAAAATCGTTTGAAAAAGTCAAATGGGACAATCGGCAAGAACAAACATCCGAGGATCCATTAATTAAGAGATAACCGTTGAAAAAATATTTAGTTCAAAATTTGTACTTTCCTAATCAATTTTTTGTTGTGATACCCAATTAGGAATTCATACAAATTGTGGAAATTAGATCTGAACTCTTTTGTGCTGCACCAATGACGAATTTTTTATGCTTTTTATTAGTTAACAAACATATTGGGGTTTGAAATAAAACACATTAAAACCCAGCTTTTATTTTGTTCAAAAATTTTACCCACAGTTCAGATCTAATTGTTAATGCAATTTTTTTATAGTTCACTTTTGTTAGATGAGTTTACTGGTCTCTCTCATCTTAGGTGGTTAGAAACAGGGTCATTTTTTAGTTCTATAAGATTTTGTGGTGCTTTATTTATTCTCAGTTTTAATCTGGAACATTGAAAATGTATAAATCTAAGATAAATTTCAATTTGTGTGTGTATTTAATTCTGTACTTACCTTTTCACAATACTATGAAAATATGATTTTCATTAATCTGTCTTAAAAGTTGGTCTGATAAGAGTTGATTGTATAGGATAAATCTTTTTATTGCAAGCTTAGTAAATAATGGGTTTTATCTATTCAAATTTGTATAGGGTGTCAACATAATTATTTATACTAAGCAAAACTGAAGATTCTTTTGTGTAGTTTTATCAATCTTGGTAATTACAAAGAATATCAAATTTGAAAAATCTCGATTGTAGTAAGTTTAATTATTTACTCAGGTTTAAAAATATCCAATATTTTATGTTTAGGTAGGTATTTAGTTTTCCTAGATTGTGTGATAATATGTAGATGGAAAATAGACTTTTTAAATATCATTTTATACAAAATTTTATATACATGAAAGTTTTCTTTTTAATAATTATTTATTTCAAATTAATTTGTTATGGAAAAAATTTTAGTTGAATAAAAAAGTTAGAAGAAATTAAAAAATTCCTATTTTTTTTTTGTCCGAGAGATTATTTGAAATATTGTCATGAAGCCTATGTAGCTCGACTATTCACTCTGAAAAGCAGAACGGGAAGGGAAATGGAACACCAGAATAATTTTAGATAAATATAATGCATATATTTAATGTTATAGAGCAGGGATTACATTTAGACTGTATAACACACAACTATTACCAAATTGCTATCATCCCGAACCAGCACGTCGCTTCAAGCTGAGAAGGTTCTAAGGGCACCTGAGCGAATCTGCCGGGTATAAGTCCAAGCTGATCTTTATTGTCAGCAGTTACTAAGAAACCCAAACCAACACAATAGAAGCATGTACTATAAGATCAGAGTCTGGGTCGTCAGATGAAATCTGCTCGGACAGACTAAAAGGCACTATTAATACTGAATAAATAATGCGGATTATTCTCGGTCTGTAGACCATCCCTTCATCTTCCAAAAACCATTATTTTATATTAATCAAGCGACCATGGTGCGTGATCGCTAATTCCCATAATTACCAGTGAATTGTCGTCGACATTGACCTTCCATGGGTTTCGGTTCCTTGTATAATTATTCAATAATTCGTTCAACTTGCAACAGAATGTTATTTAAATGTAACGTGATCAATGATTTTCCTGAAGCCCATGAACCTCTTTTGGAAGACGATTGGGTTTAATTAACCGAAGGGAGATGCCCTATTATCATAGATATGACAATATCCAATATTTGCTGACTATAGTCAGTGTATTTAATTTGGTTGTAGCCTGCGGACCCATGTAGGGTCGACATTCTCAATATCCACTAGCAGTGAATTGATTCTTCCAAAAGAAAACCCAATCTAAATGAACAAAAATATTTATTCACAAAAAGGCAAAAGAGAAAACAAATTAAATATCTTAACATTAAAAGGTTACAAAATCCTACATAGCAAAACTGCTTTTACTGGGCTGTTCTTCCTCTTGCAAGCCAGCTGTTTTTTTAACATATTGCGGATTCACCTACAAATAAAACACAAATAATCAATCACACAACTAAACAAATTATTGACATAATTACTTGAATTTCTTCATCCATAAGCAAAATCCTATTATTGAACTCCATACAAAGGGACAGCTCATCTTCCAAGGTTTTAAGCACATCAGGACCACTGTATTTATCAGGTTCATCGCTAAATACTACCATACCATCTTTTTGATTTATTGTGGCATAAATTTGACCATTTTCTATCTAAAATTGCTTCATCAAACCCAGCACAAAAAAAAAAAAACAATAAAATTACCATGCTTAAAATGTGCTTTTCTGCATCAGCAGGACCAGGTAATCCAACGCGACTAGCTACATCAGTCAAGCTTAAAGTTAAAAAGGTCTTTGTGAGTCTCTGGATATTTTTCTTATAGAGCACTGAAGAAACCTGCTTCACCAAACCCATGTTATGGTCTCTGTTGAATACTTCAGCATGTTTTGTTATGATGTTATTTAATTCGGTAAAACTATTATTAGTAAAAGCTTGAGCCAAATCGTTATAGGGTTGAGATAAGGGTTTTATAAATCTCACCACGACTTTTGAACAATATTTTGGGAGTTGTTGAACCTAAAAAATATACCCATTGAACCAAAAAACAAAAAATAAATTTTCGTCCAACTTACTTTTCCAAGTAATAATAAAGAAACTAAAATAAATTTCTTATGTGCTTCTAACATAATATGAGAAACTGCATGTGCAGGAGTAGTTAAAGCCGCTTCAAAGAAATACAATGCTCTGTCCAAATTTCTTAACGCTAAATAGATTTTGCCTCCATAATAGTAATACAATAAAAAATATTTTGCATCAAAATGAGGGATATTTGGGTTAGTATGAATATTCTGCAAATAAAACAATAGTAGCAATAATCATTATTATTATTTCATGATTCCTCACTTCTTGGCAAATACTGACGATATCAACATCCAAAATCTCCAAAGCCGGCTTAAAACATTTAGCCAACAAACACAGTTGGCATAAATCAGCATGAACTGAAGTAAGCTGATTTTCTGATAAATATTTTAGTCTTATAATAGCAAGTTTTAACAAATGAATGCCTTTTATTGCAGTTTTTTGTTCGACAAGGTAATTGGTGAACAAATGGGAAAATTCTGCGACTGAAAACCAACAATAATTATTATTAATAGACTAATCACAAATACTTACATAAATCAGGTGCACTCCTAACTTGATCGACGTTGCAATTCAAAATAAACTCCCGAGCCTGCACAAATCTATTATCGGGCAACGAAACGTTGGGGCAACTGAATTTTGCTATTAAAACCGCCAGCATTCCTAAAGAGTGCTGGTGCACGTCTAAGGTTTCGAGGACATTGTCGAGGTGTTGCAAATTTTTCGTCAAGACTTCGCTGGATTTAGTTATCACGTCGGCAAGTTCTCTAAGGTTGCCTTAAAGGGGGATACAAAGTAACATAACCTGCAAAATGCTCGAAAGCCGTTTTCACGGTACTTACCGTGATTGGATAAAGTCCGGACTGAGTTAACGAACTGTTCTAAAGCGGAAGCCATTTCACATGGAGGAAAATGGATTTTTTTTTAAAAGGCAATTCCTAATGAATTTCCTTTATATTTTTTCAGTTTGTTTGCCTTTTTAACTTTTACAAATTTTGTTTTTGACATTTCATTTGACAAACGATGAATTTTGAGAAATGTCTATTAGGTGCTTTCTTTTCTAGTTCTAGTACACATCTGACAACAATTAATTTGTTTTAAAATATGTTATTTTTTTTTCGTTCGTTCGTTCGTGCAATCATTGTTCGATTCCGGAGTATACATAGTTCAAAGAATTTTGGAGCAGTTCCAAACCAACGCATTAAAGCAAGCAGTTCATGGCCAATAACCCTAGAACCAGTCCTGAAATAAAAACCTGAACAGTAGCGCTTTCGACTTTTGCCACAAAACAGCACCCGTTGGATCAAAAAGCGATCCGAAATGGATTCGCATGTTCGGCTTAAAACGGAGCATTGTTCTCGGTGAGATTCGTGTGTTCGACTTAGTAATAGACCAGAATAGAACGCTCTCAAATCTCGCACGGAGCGCTCTTTTTTACTCCGTCAAATTCGATGGATCAAAGAGTTTGATCAAAATCAGGGGGACCGAAATGAAATATCGGTTCCGTTCCGGGTCCGGTCCACAGCGTCTTGACAAATATCGGTTCCGGTTCTAAAAGAAATATTTCGATCCGGTTGACCGGTTCGGACCAATAATGTCGGTTTTAAAGCTGGATTTATAACTTCCGTAACGTAGGCAGTAAGCAGTAAGAAGTAAGGACGTATGCCGTAAGAAGTATCAGTAAAAACATCTTGATTTATAGCTGAATTTGCTGTAACAGTAAAAACTTACGCGTGCGCATTATGATTTTATTTGAACCAATAGAAATCGGTGATAATATCTATTAATAGGCTTTCAATTTCACTCATTTTTAACCCAAAACTAATATTGAGCACAATCACCAATGTCCAAAACAATTCCAGAACCTCACTTTATAAAACCAAAACAAAAACAATGCCAGCGGCCATTGCTTTCTGCGTTACTTTTTAACACGAGAACCGACGATTGCGTCCGAATCCGTATCAGTAACCGTAAGAAATAAAAATGAACCATTTCATACTGCTTACGGCTTACTGCATACTTGTTACTGAAAGACTATAACCAGGAGCATGTATTTGCTATAAGTTCATTTTTCTTACGTCTCACGGATACTGCTTACTGCTTACGTTACGGAAGTTATAAATCCAGCTTAACGGTTCATACCGGTACAGTCTACAGTTTTTCACAAATACCTATCTAACAGAAAAATTTATATTTCTGTAATTTTTGGTTTATTTTTATTGGATTTCTCTGCCTATCTGCAACAACTTTAGTAATCATTATTAATAATAAGTGTCTGTGTTCTCGATCAGTTAATTACAGTTTGTATTTTTTAACTTTGCCCGTGTGTCATTATTGACACCATGCATATTCTTATGATGTTTACCGGTGTCCGTATTATGGCACAAGGACACTAAAGTACTAGCTATAACGTAGGCAATGTATCATTCCTCGCCTTGACGTAGTATGTTTGCACCACAGGTTATGATTGCGCTGATTTTTGCTTAAGTAGTATGTAATATCCTTGGTGAAGCCTAGCCGAGCTCAGAAATGCTCGCTTTTCAACGCTCTATTTTTTAGAGTGTTGTTAAATTTATTACGATACGACCAAACAGCAAACAGCCTAATTTATGAAATCTTTAAAAAACGGTTTTGTACCGGTTTAATATTGTTCCGGTCCGGGTCACTGAATAGAACGCTCTCAAATCTTGCACGGAGCAGTCTTTTTTGCTCAATGGAATTTGGTAGATTAAAGAGTTTGATCAAAACAATAAAGTACGTTCGTCTATTGATTTCAAATTATGTGCCCTCATGATTAAAATCGCTCTCGGAGCACTCCCGCTGAGATTTGTGATGTCATCGCTCGAACGGGGAGCGCTCGAGCAGTATAAAGCCGAAAATATAAGGCAAGAAACGTATGTTTTTAGCGAATTCAATTAATCGAACTAGTGTAGCCTGAGAGCAATACTTCTCATCCATTTGTCATTACAGTGCAGGTTTTTGAACTCCTTTCTCCTACAAGCTGATGCAGCACTTTTTGCACCTAGTGTAATCGAATCTGGCCGTGCTCCGAAGGCAATTCGATACGTATCGTTCTTGCAAAATTAAAGCCATCATCAGTCATTCGTTGCGCATCTCATATTTTTTGTATGCCAGGCTGTAGAATTTTCTTTATTTCGACAAGCCTAGCAAGGATAATACACGCTGCTACTACAGAATAGCCTAATTAGACAATCAAACGATGTGTCAAATATGGCCGACTGTTGGCACACATGTGCCCACAACCCAAAATTTCTTGTGTTATCAGTCATCGTCCCTTGTGTTTACCTTTGACGTTAAGAATTTTAAAATAATTAAAGTTTTTTTTTTTTTAAAGATAATTCCCCAAGTCAAAGATTTAGTAACTATGTTGGTAACACAAGCCTTTTCTATATAAAAAATTTGAAGCATTGACAATTTTACATTGTATTGCCAACATAATGTCATTTTGACTTTTATCTTAAAAAAAAAAACAGACTTTAATTCCAGCTTTTTACAAATTTCCTTTCAAAATATTTGTAAATTTGTAAATAATTGTGATTGTGTGTTTTTTTTAGGTCTCAAAACTCACAAAATTAAGCAATAAGCAGCACAATAAGTCAACACAGAAAATGACACACCGTGCATTCGGTATTTTGTCAGAGTTCTCCGAGCTTGAATTTACCGTTCGTTTATTCAAAAAGTATACTCGGAGCAAGCTCATTTGCATTCGTTTATTAAAAATTCGGGCACTCGGATACTGCGTTCAACTGCTCTGTTCGCTCGCTGGTCACGTGATTACGGCTCCGCTCAGCACGCTCTGCTCTTTGAGCAAAATACTGAACGCAAGGACAAATATTAAACCAAGAAAATCTTTTGTGTGCCAACAATCCGTCAAAAAAAGTCACGTGGTTTGGATTGCCTAATAAGGCCTGTGTAATTCAAATCACGGACCCGGACCGGAACGATATTGAACCGAAAACCGGAAAGGAGCCGTTATTTCGAAACCGATATTTCTTACCGGTATTTTTCGGAAAAACAGAGCGTTGGAAAGCGCGCATTTCTGAACTTGGCTAGGTTACACCAAGGCTACACAAGGCTCATCGACCTCGATTTTTGCAATCAAGTTCATATGGTGTTGCCTCAAGTGTTGCACCGTTACAACGTCATCAACGGTGTCGTTAGCGGTTTACGCCAGCGGTCGTCGTTAGGAATATACAATTTATGATGAAAAATATTATTTAAGATAGGCAGAGAAATCCAATAAAAAATAAACCACAAACAGAAACATAAATTTTGCTGTCTCTTATAACCGGAACTGTAACAGAACAGATATTTGTCATGACGTTGTGGACCGGAACTGGAACGGAATCGATATTTCATTTCGGTCTGGGTCCCTGGTTCAAATCTCTAGCATCCTCCTCCCGCCCCGAATGCCTAAGCACCAGTGATGACGTGTAGCAGCGTGTTGTTTTGTTTCTTGCTTTGACGTAGGGTGTTTGTGCCATAGATTATGATTCCGCGGGCGTTTGCTATGCATACTTGGTTTTACTAAGTAACATTCTAAAACAACTCTTTTTCAGATCTCGTTTGCATCTTCCTCTTTGCCTATCATGATAATCAAAATTAATTTTTTTTTAATCATCATAAATGAATATTCTAAAATACGACCGCTGGCGCAAGCAGTTGACGACTTAGTTAATGACGTCAGCAATGGTGCTACACCAATCGCGATTACCAAAAACGAGGCCGATAAGCAAATCTCAAGTAGTATGTATTAACCTTGAAGTTCTAGAGCCGGGAATAATTAAATTGAATTTCTCTTTTTAAAGCAATTTAGAAAAAAAAGGAAAATTCAAGAGGAGCCGAGAATAGACAAAAATTGAAACAAAAAATTGTGAAATACAAAAAAAGGAATTTAAGAGAAATTGAGAAAAAAATGGTAGATATAGGTTTTTTACGTTATATTTAGGATGACGTCAGAGAACAAGGACTGACAATGTTGTTAATGCCTATTTGTTTTCTTATAATTTACCAGAATGTCATAATGAATTATCAAGACCACTGACAGCTAAAAATAACGAAATGAATCGACACGGGTTATTTATTTGAAAATGTTCATTTAAATCATGCAACATCGCGCGCCGTTGCCAACCAGAAACATCTGAAATTCCCCTACTTTATATGCGTTAAGAAGTACTTTTAGTTTTGTTAGATTTGCAGCAGAAATTTACTAAATGTGACGTCATCCTAAATATAGCGTGAAAATCCTATAGGTAAGAGACATCTAAATGGCGCGTACGATAAGTCCGAACTACTGACACTTTTCACCCTGACCCGTCATTAATGTCGCACTTTTTACACCATTCGTACCGTGCAGCGTTCCATTTTCAGGTGGTTGCGTTCCAAAACATAACTGCACCGCACTAACGCTAACCGGTTCAGACAAATCGTACGCACCACAAGATCCATGTTTTTTCTGTTCAAGCAAGGGTCTGTTCCAGTAGTTTTTGAATTTTCTTTATTCTGAATAGAATAAGAGCTGCTTTCGGTTTCCACCCTTTGAGCGCTCCCGAGTTACTCGGAAGTACTCCGGCTACAGTTTGACCCGTTCGGTTTCAAGTGTTCGAGTGCAAAACGGATAGAGTATGACAGGTGTGCAGCAGAGATGGGCATCTACGCGTAAACAAAGATTGTCTACGTCTGGGGTAAACAACGCGTAGACAATGTAAACTATGAACTATGTAATCTATGTAGACAACGTGTAAAATATGTAGACAACGCGTTGGCAACATGTGTATGGCCGACCAAATGTTAATTTTTCAATATTCGCCTTACTCAATCGTTTGGTGGTCGTTTGGTGGTCTTTGGTATCCCACTTTTAGTATTTGGTGGTAATTACTTAGGCAGTAATTAACAATTCAAAATTTCATATGACGTTGGCCGACATAACCTGATTCTAATTTATTTTTTGGCCCATTTATAGTCAAATTGAACGGAAATCGTTTGGTGGTCACGAATTTACCGAATTTAACGTTTGGTAGTCAATAATACCGGAGATATTAATCAATTAAGATTGTTTTCTGATATATTCTAATTATTCGTCGCGCATGCGCATATATTATCTGTTTTTCATTGAGCCGCCTCGATCGCGGCGTTGCCTACCTATTCTATAATTTTCAATCAAATCAATTATTTCATTACAATCAACGAATAATTAGGTAGGTATCTATACTTACTCGAATACTGAAAATAACTATCTTCTATACAGTATACATACAGTAACTATAACGTCTATAACAGTAATTAAGTTCGCAGGTTTATGACAAAATAAAACTCCAGTTAATTTCATTTTTGCTATTGTGGCGACCACTGACAACGACAATCCAGTAATCTAGTATCCAGTACAAGCAGAGTCCGCGACTCGCGAGTTGACACGCCACCGGCCCACCGCCAGTTCCGGATCGCATCGGCAACGCCGCGATCGAGGCGGCTCAATGAAAAACAGATAATATATGCGCATGCGCGACGATTAATTAAAATATATCAGAAAACAATCTTAATTGATTAATTACTCCGGTATTATTGACTAACAAACGCTAAATTCGGTAAATTCGTGACCACCAAACGATTTCCGTTCGATTTGACTATAAATGGGCCAAAAAATAAATTAGAATCAGGTTATGTCGGCCAACGTCATATGAAATTTTTAATTGTTAATTACTGCCTAAGTAATTACCACCAAATATTAAAAGTGGGATACCAAAGACCACCAAACGACCACCAAACGATTGAGTATGGCGAATATTGAAAAATTAACATTTGGTCGGCCAAATACATGTTGCCCAACGCGTTAAGTATACAATTTTTGACAGTTGGCAGGCCTTTAAGGTTATGTTTCTGTTTTTGCTTTGTTTTGTTTTTTGCTTTGTGATGTTAATTAAACTGCAGATAAATGAGGCCTATGATGTATCCTGTCCTGTTATTTTAACGTCTGTGTTAAGCCTCAACATCTATTTCTGTCTCTATTTTGACGTGTATAGAATAAACAGTGACAGATAACTTAACGTTGCTGTTAAAATAACAGAAAATGATACATCATAGGCCTGAATGTCTAATTTGATACAATATAAATTTAATGCAAGCAAACTTTGAAAAAAATAACTCAAATTTCAAATTTTCTGTTGTCTACATTGTCTACATAGTTTACATAGTCTACATGGAAAAAAGTGGATGTAAACAATACGTAGACAACGAGTAGACAAATCGCGTAAAGTAGATTTCATAGTCTACGGCACATCCCTGGTGTGCAGTGTTTTCGGAGCTTCGCACTCTGCAGTGCTGCACCCGAAAGCGGCTAAGGAATGAGTAAGGTAATGTTTATTCCAGGGCAGGGTCTAACTACAGGAAGTTCTAGAACTTAAAAAAGATAATCCTACTCAGACTCCGAGTAGGTTTATTTTTGACAGTAGGCTATTTTTCGCCAAAGATGATATACACTACTACTACAGGATGGCCTACCCTCATAAGGCCTGTGTGTAACAAATTTCCCCCTACCTCTCCTAGCCAAACAACCGGTTGTGACGTAAGCAGCATGGCGTTTCTCGCCTTGATGTAGGCTGTTTAAACAGCTGACAACTTAGTTATGACGTCGGCAATGGTTGAAAACCAATATGGCGGCGATTACCAAAAACGAGGTCGATAAGCACTCCTTAGAGTGTGTTTACTCCTTGATTTTTCGCAACATAATTTTTTCAAAGGTTATGTTCGATTATGTTGAGTAATGAAGGATTACCGATTATCCAATGACATTTGCATTACCCAACATAATCTCTTTGGGAAAATTATGTCGCGAAAAATTGCCTAGTATTACTATTAAGGGCGGGTATTATAAAACTGCTTTGACAGTTAACTTGAAGTTAACTTTTTGAATTACATGTATTTTCAGAAGTTAACTCTCAAAGTAGTTTTATAATACCCGCCCTAAGTAGTATTACTATTAACTGACCTTATCTGCAACTGAAAACTGTACTAGGTTCTAGAACCTAGAACAGTACACAGAACGATATTTCTTAGAACAGTATTGCACGAATTCTAAAAAACTGTGGTCCCTCATAATTTGTTCGACAACTGACTAATGACAAATGTAATCAATCTAGCCAACCTTAAAATTCAAAATTTTAATAGAAATTTAAAAAAATTCTTATCCATAAAAAATAAACAATCACAAAATGTTACCAATGTGCCGTAAAATCCCGAAATTCCTCACCTCACTCCAGTCAACAATTCCTAAACACTTATCAACATCACCCCTCGAAGCCCCTAGTAATTTCCAACAGGATTTCGAGAAGCATCACTGCCCCACAAATTTCCTCCAAAGATCAGTCCTAACAGTGGGCGCAGCTGCTATTTCAATATTAGACCCTCATAGAGGAGATATGATAGCTTGTTTAGGAGAGACTACAGGAGAAGGAGCTTTGCATTATATGAAATCTTGCATGGAACAGTCTAAGGAAGGGTTGCAAATTTTGCAAGAGCAACCAAGGATAAATACAAATACTGTGAACTTAAATTATTTACAAAACTTACCTCCAAATACTTTGGGTTACATGTATTACAAATTTTTAGAAGTCAATCAAGTGACTCCTGATAGTAGAATGAGCGTACAATTCATTGACAATCCAGAACTAGCCTATGTAATGCAAAGATACAGAGAAATCCACGATTTGATACATACAGCATTACAAATGCCTACAAACATGCTAGGAGAGGTAACAGTTAAATGGGTGGAAGCCCTGCAATTTAAATTACCAATGTGCATCAGTGGAGCTATTTTTGGGCCTTTGAGGCTCAAAACAAAACACAGACAGTTGTATTTGGATAGATACTTGCCTTGGGCTATAAAAACTGGAGGCAGTGCTGAGTTTTTGTTGAATATTTATTTTGAGAAGAGGTGGGAACAAAAATTGAGTGAATTTTATAAGGAGATTAATCTAGAGCCTTTGATATTGAAATAGTTTTTTATATTATTAGTTAAATAAAATATAGAAATAAAAAACAAAATAACTTATGCATTAATGGAATACATATTTTTAAACTAATCTTCTCCTGCTGGCATTGCATCTTCGAGTCGTCTAATGAATTTTACTCTAATCTCAGTATTTTGATCACCTTTCAACTGATCTTGCACAATCCAACTTTGCACATCCAACTGCACCATTTCCAAAGCACCTCTTATAGCTCCACAAATAACATTGCTATATTTGAGTTGTTTGAGGTTTTCAGGCAGCTCAACAAGCTCCGTAAGTGGATTACTATCCAGGATGAAGGAAAACTCGTCTCCAGCAGGGCTCCAATTGACTACATTGGGTTGTACTCCGAGGTACAGACGAAAAGCAGTTTGGATTTTATCGGCAGTATCTTTGAGATCTAGACAACGGGCCGTGCCAGTTTTCGATAGGAAATCTTCTATAAGGCGTATGCCTATGTTGTAGCCGATACGATCCAGTTGTTTGCTAACATCGTCCGGATTGTCCAGATCTTTGACCATTTGGGCTACAAGGGTGCCATAAGTTAGATTGACTAGTTCGGAGTTTACTTTTTTCGTATCGAATCTAGTCGAACGGGACATTTTGAATTTAATTTATGAAGACAAATTATTTTTGTATATTTTGATTTGGGTTTGTTGACACGAAATACGAAATGACAAAGTAGTAGAGTAGGGAGGAGACCAAAGCCGCTTTCGGGTGCAGAGTGCGAAGCTCCTAGAACACTTCAGACTTGTCATAAATACTCTCATTCGTTTTGCACTCGAACGCTCGGAGTGCGTTCGAAATCACCCTGGGCGTCACACCGAGTGCACACCAGCCATGAATAATTCATAGCTGGTGTGCACTCGGTGTGACGCCTAGGGTGATTTCGAACGCACCCTTGAAACCGAACCGATCAAACAGTAGCCAGAGTACTTCGGAGCGCTCGAAGGGTGGCACTCGAAAGCCAAGGATCCCAAAAGCAGCTTAACTAGTGAATCGGTTTTATCTATCTGCTGCAACCATATTCAGTGCGCAATAAATCGAAAACGCTATATGAAAATACAGGGTTGGGTTGGCAACACTGATTTGATTTCTGAGGGACTAGACTTGTCAAGCATTAAACGCAAAGCGCAAATTTCCCTTGCTTTGCTTGCTAGTTGCGTTGGTTGGAAAAAAAAATGTTTTCTAACAACAAATAATTCAATCAAAGCCTTTTCAGGACTCCCATGTATTAAATCTACTCACAAAATAGCAAAAATCCACTATCATGTATCGTACAGACAAGCAATTCATGAAAAATCCGGCTACGGCAAACGCTAGGATCTACATCGGCAATTTACCGAAAACAACTGTGGCCATCGATTTAGAGGCGAAATTCTCGGGCCATGGTAAAATTTTGGGGCTGGTGATTAATACGGGCTTCGCATTTATTCAGTATGAATTGGAAGAAGAGGCCAAGACTGCTATCAGAATGGAAAACAACACAAACATGATGGGAAGAAAAATTATCGTCAGGCTGGCCCATGCAGGCAAAGGACAAGGAGGACCACCACAACAACAGCAGCAGCAACAACCCCAACAACAACAAATTAAGGGTAATTTATTATTTATTATTAAAATATTCTAAATTTGTCATGTTAGGCCCTCCTGCTAAAATGGACTTGCCTCCACCAAGAGCAACATCACTATCTAGGGCACCTGACCAGGAACCTGATAATAGAAACTTGAATTTTGAACCTCCAGATGTTCCTGAAGATGAAGCAGACTTACAAGTAATTTGATTTTTTTTAATCAATAATTATTATTTCCATGAAATTTTGTATTAGGAAGATGAAGAAATGGACTCTGGTCCTAATATCAGACCACCACCTCAACAAAAATTTGACGATAGAAGCTCACGAGGTGGCCGTGGTGGTGCTAGAGGTGGTAGGGGTAGCATGCCGAGAAATAATTCGAAAGACAGATTCAGTCATCCGCAAAGAGACTTGAGAGAAATGCCACCGCAAAGAGATTTAAGAGATATGCCTCCACACAGAGGGTAAGAAATAGACCAGTTTTACATTCTTCTGAAACATCAAAAAATGTCCTATAGCCCCCTAGCACAACATATTTCAGTGTAGTAGAGATATCTTTATGCAAAAGATATCCACAGGTTACCAGGATTGTCCTAAGATTTCTTCAAATTCTCCCAGATTTTTATAGGATGTCCTTAATTTTTTATGGAATACCAGCAAGAACACAACTCCCAACGTCTTCTCTTTAACACAACATGTGCATTTTCTCTTAATCTATTACTTTCCTGGCAATATCAAAGCTACATTTATTAAAATATAAGGTATAATATTATTATTTCAGTGGAAGACCTGATAACATGATATCCTCTGAATATTCTCAATCAATAAAAAATTATATTTTGAACGCGTGCACAGTCTCATTCACTAAGATTTTCCTCAGATTTCTCCAGATATCCCTTATATCTCCCATAGGTCTCCTCAGATATCCTTAAATCCCCCCAGTTTTCCTTCAGATTTTCCTGAATCTCCCCCAGGGTTGGCATACACAAAACAAAAACTTGAAATCGATCTGATACTCCGAAGTATTTTTCAAAGGGGATGAACTTTTCAACTTTTACTGGTATTAAGCTTCAGATTGACTTCATATTTGTCTTATTTGATAAAAACATCCTGGTTAATAAATTCTGGAAGTTTGAAATTGATCTGATACTCCGAAGTATTTTTCAGGATTTTTCAAAGCTGATTTAATATGAACTTTTCAACTTTTTCTGGTATTGAGTTGGAAAAAACCTCATAATTTTATTTTTAAGCTTCGAATTGACTTCAGATTTGCCCTGTTTTATGAAAACATTCTGGTTAATAAATCCTGAAAGTTTGAAATTGATCTGATACTCCGAAGTATTTTTCAAAGGTGATTTAACATGAATTTTTCAACTTTTTCTGGTATTAGTTGAAAAAAACCTCATAATTTTATTTATAAGCTCCAGATTGACTCGAAATTTGCCGTGTTTGATGGAAACATCCTGGTTAATAAATCCTGAAAGTTTGAAATCGATCTGATACTCTGAAGTATTTTTTTGGATTTTTCAAAGGTGATTTAACATGAATTTTCCAACTTTTTCTAGTATAAACTTGGAAAAAACTTCCTAATTTTATTTCTAAGCTTTAGATTGACTTCAAATTTGCCTTGTTTGATGAAAACATCCTGGTTAATAAATCCTGAAAGTTTGGAATCGATCTGATGCTCCGAAGTATTTTTCAGGTTTTTTCAATGGTGATTCAACATGAATTTTTCAGCCTTTTCTGATATTAAGTTGGAAAAAACCTCATAATTTTATTTGTAAACTTCAGATTGACTTCAAAAATCCTGAAAATCTGAAGTCGATATGATTCCTCAAAGTATTTTTCAGGATTTTTCAAATATCAAACTGGTATCAAGTTGGGATAAAGGTTCAAATATTAGTAGAACTCAGGCTACTCATGAAATGTAGTTTTTTACTCATCAGTTCAAATTTAAATTAATTTTCAGTGAAATTCCAGTCGGATTCCGTGGAATTTCAGCAGGATTTTGTGGGAACCCAGTAGGATACCATGGTATTCCAGTACGATATCGTGGGATTCTGGTGTATACATTTTTCAAGGTGGTTTACCCCTCGGCTCAATTATTAAAGTAATTTTCCTATTCCAGGCTCTCTAACTTGAATGTCCATAATTTATTGGTCTCAAATAGACAACAATTGGAATGAAAAACGAGAGTAGAAAAAAGCACTCCATTATAGGTACTACACCAACATTCTTGCTCTGGATCTGGAACATTCAAAACTTAACTTCAAGATTTATGAACTAATGAAGTTTCTTTGCAAATCTCTCTCTGGATCTGAGACTCAGAAAAAATATGAGCAAATTAGAGAATGTGATAGTAGTGATAGTCATCTTAGCTGTATTTTAGCTCTAAATTTGACAAAATTCAAGTTGTTGTAAATGAGATGGGCATATAGAATCTGAAACTTTTTCTTGAAAATTTAATTTTTATAAGCCTAGAATAGCAATGTCCTGAATAAATATTTATTATTCATATACCTATGTATTTGCATCAAAAAAACTAATTATTTATTCATTTAGGCCTGGCCCTGGTGTATATTATGACGATTATGGTCCGCCACAAGCTCCAGTAGTACCAGAAATTGTACCGGCCACAGACAGAAATGACTGTGAAATAATTGTAGTCACGAGAGCGCTAACGTAAGTGAGTCAATATGGTACTCACTTGAAAATATTACATTACACCTTTTCACAGCGAGTATGCCGAATTTATTGAAGGGCGACTCAAACACTTGGGTCTTCTAGTGGATCTGCTCTTTCCTAATGAAGCTGTACCCATTGGCAGGGTACTGGCCAACGTTTCGAGCAGAGGCTGTTTGTACGCCATTCTTATTGCCCCACACAACGAAGAACACAGAAGTTTGACTTTGAATGTGCTGCACGGGCTGCCGCAAGAGCACAGGAACATGCCCATCGATGATGCCCTGCTTTTGATGCAGAGAAACTTTGAAGCTTACATGAGAGGCGAAAAGGCACCAGAAGATCCTAGCAAGATGAGTTTGGCAGACAGACATCCAGCTCCAATACAGGTAATTTATATTGTGATTTTGTTGAAAAATAAATCAATAAATCAATTTCAGATGCTCTTCAATCTTTTGGCTGAAAACCGTCAATTGAGCAGTAACCAGTACGAAAGACTGCTCAAATACCTCCAAGAAAGACGTCAGTTGCAATATGAACATGAAATCTCTGAAGGTTTAGCTCTAGAGCCAGAAGACAATTCGAAAGATAAACAAAACGAGCTACAAACAAGAATATTGAGCATTTTAAACAAATCTAACGAGCCTCCTATACCTACTTCAATTACTGCTCCTGATCCAATGCCTCAAGAATCGTCTACCCCTTTGTTGAAAGATCCTTCGGTGCAAAAAGCTTTGGAGAGTATATTGTCTGGGGACATGTTTAAAGGGATCGCTGGCGGATTATAGAAATAAGGATTTAAAGTGAAAAAGTTTTTGCTGGTCATTGAGCTGATTTTAGATGTAATCTTTTTTTTTTATTTATCAGTGGAAAAAAATGAAAGTGATGTTTGTCTTGTTAATTTTTCAATAACTTGCTAATTTAGGTTGGTCAAGTTTTGCACAATTCGCTAGATTGATGTAAGACTTTTCCTCTCGAAGTAGATATGAATGTCCCATGAATATACAAATATTGAAGTTTTAATTAAATTTGTAATATCACACCTGGGACATCTTGGACAATCCTGTCTTTCAACCCTTACACGCCTGGGTACTTATTCTTGAAACAGGGGAGCAACGTTCCCAGGAAAACGAGTGTTTCGTTTTTCTCAATGATATGCAAATGATAATATAAGTAACAAAGATGGGACACTCGTTTTCCTGAGAACTTTGCTCCCCTGTTTCAAGAATACGGACCCTGTAGATCACGATTTTATTAACAGTATTGTATTTTCCGGCGACCCTCTACCTAAACAACATTACAAATTTAGAAAAAAAAACAACCCATTACTTTTCATAAATCATTTTATTTACACAATAAAAAAAAAACAACTTAGTGTTGCAGCTTCACTAGTGTCCGGCACGAAAATAATAGAATATGACAAAAGCCCGCTTAAATTTAGAAGAAAAAAAATAAAATTAGTTTGTCGCATTTCTATAATTATGTACCGCATCTAAAAAATGAAACAAACCCTGTGCAACACTATATGGAATTCAAGCACTCTCTTATAATACAAAACTAATTTTCTACAAAATCAAATTTTCCAGTCGGTATCTTAAATTTAGTAGTTGAAAATTAACTTGAGATTTTGACAATAATTTCAATTAAAAATTAAATTTAAACCCTTTAATGGTTAAATTTTGTCTTAAGCTTATGAGAATATTTAATATGATTATTCAAAATTTGGTTAATATTAATTTTTTTTCGCATGAAAATTTAGTTCTAGTGGATAATTGAAAAAAAAAAAATCACAAAAATTAATTTGGAATTTTCCTATATTTATCAATATAACTGGAGCCTATTATACTTGTCCGGAGTAATTTTCAAAAGCATTTTCAGGCTTATTGTCCTATGCAAAGTATTCCAGAATTAAGTATAGTAATTTTGAATGGTTTTTTAGTTCGCACAGAAAAAGGGCTTGTTTGATCCCTTCATGGGATGCCAAGTTTTGCCCTGATGGCGATCAACACGTACTATACACACAAAAAAAAATCCTTTATTACAACTACAACCATTTCAACTTTAGAATCTAGTCGAACATGCTATCTTCACTATCGTCTGGTAGACCTTCAAAATTCATTGGTTCTAGTTCTTGATTACCTAAACAGAAAAGTTTTTGAAAAATATGACTTTGAATCGACTTTATGAGAAGTAAGTCCCATGTTACAATTCCAAAGGCAAAATGAAAATCAAATAATTTGTGGTGGTGATGGCCCTGTTTTGCCTATACATCCTCTACTAAAGTAGAAATGAAACTAGGAATGTATCAAAATCTGATTTCTGATAATTCGAGAAATATGCTAAGGCTTAAGTTTATTTCTAAAATAATCACAAATCAGAGTTTCATACATATCTGGTACGATTTCAGCTCTAGCAAAATGATTTTCAAACTTCTCTACTCTTTGCTCTAGTTCAAATTTCAGCTTGAGGAGAACTGGGAATGGGATTTTCACGCCTGTTCAGTTCAGTTTCAGGTTTGTACAAGAGTCAAAAATTAGCTCTTTAAGCTGCTCTAACTCAACTCTGGAATTACCTATCAAAACCTATATTTTTTTATACCATTCTAGTTTATTCAGCTCTGTAAACATGAGTTCTAAAAGCTTAAGATCTTAAGACTTTTGAGAGTCTGTAAAACATTTGCATTCTTTAAGTGTTATATACTCGGTTGTATATATCATACAGAAAATATAAAATAGGTCGATGTTGTGTGGTATACATTAATTACATTTGGTATATATTCAAGAAAATTGAATAAAGTTAATAGAAAATTCTTAGCGGAATTCCCTCACGACAAGTTCCTGGCAATTTTCCAACTAAACCAGAAATTTACCCATCGAAAACTAGGACCTTTGTCAAGAAACTCGAGTTCATGGACGAATTTGATTGAAATTAATAATTGAGACAAATTACTAAATCAATTACAAAAGAACATCCTAAAATTCTTATGTGCGAATGTTAAATATTCAACTTACCAGAATTACTTTCTGAATGATATTCCTCAGGTGTAGGCGATTGAGGACTTTCTGGAACATCAGTCGCATTATTTCTGCCCATGGCCGGATCGAAAGCTTCCTTAATTTGACTGCTCGCCCCCTTGGGATCCAAATCCGTAGCCCAACTAAAGTGCTGCAAAGCCAAATCCGTATTCCCCAACTTTTTGTGAACTTTACCAATTAAATAATACACTGACGATTCTGTGGGTACAATTTCCTTGAGCTCCTCTAGTTCTTTCAAGGCTTCGGCGTGCCTGCCCAATGCAAAGTACACCGAACCCCTATGGAATTTACACAAAGGATTCTTGGATTCATTGGCTATTGCTCTGTTAAACGTTGTCAAAGCGTTATCAGTGCGTTTAAGAGCATGCTGCACTATTCCTATATGGCACATAATTACGGAACTTTGAGGGTTAATGTTTAGCGCTCTTTCGTAGGTCATTTCTGCTAATCTATAGCGTTCTTGTTTGGAGTAAATCGTGCCTATGCCAAACCACGCGTTATAATGCATGGGATTTATTCTGACTGCGTTCCAGAAACAACACATTGCTTTGTCAAGCTCTTCTGTTGTTATGTATTCGTGTCCTAGAAGGGTGTAGGCATAATGGAAACTTGAATCCACCTAGAAAATTGATTTATTTTTCATCAATTTTTTTTTTGCATCAACATTATCTTACCTGTACGGCTCTTTGGAAAAACTTAATAGCAGTATCATGTTCCTTGTGCAAAGAAAAACAATTACCACTAACACAATAAGTAACAGGATGATCTCTGTTAGTATCCATAAGATCTTGAGCCAGGGCACTGAGTGCTACTTCTTTTTGAAGATGCCATAAAGCTGTAGAATAAATATCCATATACTCCAGTCTGTAAGGGTCTTGTTCATGTACCTAAAAAGCCAAATAGTATGAAAAATTTAAAAACTGTTTTTAAGCTTACCATTTTAAAATATTTTATGCTAGATTCGTAATCGTTCATTTCGAAGTGAGCCAATCCCATGAGGCAATAGATCCAGGAGGTGTTGAATTGATTCGCTGGTAAGGCTAAGAGATTCTGGAAATTTACAATAAAAATTTGGATTTGTATACAGGGTGGAATATTGATTTTGAAAATAAAGTTCAGCCATATATTTCCAACTTTTCACACTTGATTTAAGTTGAAAGTAATAATTGTATTTGTATTGTATGTAACGGATTTTCTGTTAAATAAGTAAATAAATCAATAATAATAAAAAATAAGTTTATTATAATTATTTCAGCATTTTGTTTGCTAAATAAACTTATTTTTTATTATTATTGATTTATTTACTTATTTAACAGAAAATCCATTACATACAATACAAATACAATTATTACAATAAGTAGTACTCCTAAACCTTGACCCAGATAGGCGCACCACAACAGTTGGGTAGGTATTACAATCTATAATCATTCAGATTCAAGGTAGGATTAAAGAGACCATACAATAATAAGCAGGTACAAATGTCATGAAATGACTGCCTCCTCAGCACATTTCTCAATGAAAGCTCAGAGACTACAAATAGATCAACATCATTACTGTTGCAACCCTCCATGATTCTATTCACCGCAATGTTTCGACTATAAAACGTTCGATGTTGCTGCGTTTGAAAAGTTTTAGGATTTCTTAATGATCGTGGGGGAAAGTAGAAGTTAAGTTGACGAAGAAGCGAGGGGTTAATTACTCCCCGAAATCGTGTCACAAATTCGTCCGAAATCCCCGAAATCTTTCCGAAATCCCCAAAATTCTTCCAAAGTCCACGAAATCATTCAGAAATCTGCCAAAATCCCTCCGAAATCTCTCAGAAATCTTTCCGCAGACCCAAACATCCCTCGCAATTGGCCCAAAATTCATAAATCGGTCAACGCGGCCGTTTTTCAATTTATACTAATACACTTTCGAATATACTTATAAGATAAGTAACAGTCTAGAATCAAATTAAAATATTTGTGGAATCACCTGAGATTCTCCGAAATCACCCGAAATCCTTCAAAATCACCCGAAATCCTTCGAAATCCGAAAAGTGTTTTTGGTTCAAAAAGTAGAAACATAATAATTTAAACTAAAATTATTCCTTGGCAAACCATAATTTCATTTATTGTTTGGTAAAGATCTTTGTTAAAAACCCTTACCTTAGGTGAAACATTTTTAGTTTCAACCCCTAAATAAATGCATTTTTTCAATGACTGCTCAAAAAACATTTAGTCACTACAAACGCATAAAAATCACTTACTTGTATGGCTGTTTGGCAGTCGTAACTGCTCAGAGCAACATAAGCCTGTCCAATATTCCTGAGTAGATTACAGAGTCCTTCAGCGCTCTGTTTTTGGGATTGAATTGCTTGCTGAATGCAATGGTCGCTGTTCTGATTTATTGCACCCTTTTCATTTTTGGTATCAGAAGTGATGGTTTCAGATTTTTCTAAATTCTAATCAAAATATTAGCAAAATAGGAACTAATTATTTAAAACAACTTACTTTACTAACTTTATTTTTGGTATTTAGTTCTTCGCACTCATTATTCTTATTGTTAATATTCTTAGCTAATCTTTGTTTAGTTTTCCGCGATGGTGATTTTGGTGTTGTGAATTTATTTCTTGTTGGCGATTTATTGTTTTCTTTTACAGAATTGGAACTAAAATTACTTGAAATAAAAACAATAATTAGTTAACAAACAAACAAAAGTATTATGTATTTTTACCTAAACAATCTAGAGCTTCGCCTGACATTTTGATTAGGCTGCATGGCTAGAGGAATGGTAGGAGTCTTTTGTACTGGCACATTAGAAGATTGGCTAAAAACCGGTTTGCTATTTTGCAACACGTAATCTTTATTATTTCGACTGATTATTTGATCAGACCTCATTCTTTTGCCCAGGGGCAAATGATTATTGGATTCTGTCAGTGTGGGCTGAAGGTTTTCTGGAGTTATTGCCAGATAACCAAATGAAGGAGTCTAAAATAATTTTGCTTGATGCAATTATTTAACACAAATGTCATGAATCATACCTCAACAAATTCGTTTTTCATTACAGTCTTATGCCGTGACAAGGGGGCAAAACCTGACAAACAAAGTGGGTTTGCCAAAGGGCTTTCATCAGGTGTAAATGAATCTCTTGCCAATTTTGATTTAAAACTACAAACATTTTTTTTATATTAAACATCGATTTAACTATCTGTTGAAACTTACCCTGGATTAAATTTACTAATAATATTTTGTGGAGGAGTTTCTGCAATAAGTTCACTTTTAGTCATGTATTGAGTGTTTATTGGTACCGGGGAAAGATTTGTTATTACAAGACTTTCTATATTGTTTATAAGTTGTCCTTGACCTAGTGATGTATTTCCTTGAAAACAATTTGCTCTAAATTTTTTAAAACTCATAATCTAAGGCACACTACTTACCTATATTCTCAGATTGAAAAATACTGGTAGGATTAGGGTTTTCGCCAATTTTGCACAAACTTTCAAAAGCAGAAAACAGATAGGGGTTAACTTTCAAAGCTTTTTTCCATGCTTCAATTGCTCGTGGTTTCCTTTCGGTTTTAGCACCAATTTTGCCTAAAAGCATCAATGCAAAAGCACTCTGTTCGCCAAAATCTACGATTACATCCTCTAAAGTTCTTGTGGTGCCTTCTAGTGTATCTATTATAGCTGACTCAGCTTCAGCGTACCTACAAACATTAAAACTTAGGCTTTGAACAAAGTATAAACAAAATCTATACTTCTCTAGATCAAAAGCACAAATTCCAAACAATAACTGGCATTGGGTCGAAGAACCGTGTTTGTCCTTCAAAGTGTGATAAGCCAACGTCTTTTGGCCACTTCTATAATAAGCTGTGGCGAGTAGGTACAAGCTTTCGTCAGATTTTACTGAAACAGATAAATGAAAACAAGGCCAAAACTATTTTGATTGTTTACCTTCAGCGTATAAACGTTCCGATATAAAAACAGCATCGGAATAGTCGTAATTGTTTAAACAATGCCAAATAGCAGCCTAAAAAAGTAAAAAATATAAACAAAAAGGGGGCCCCCCAACAAAAAACTTACCTGCACAGGCTCCTGAACAATCATGATTGAGTATTAAATAGCTTTCTATTTGGTTCACTATTCAGGGACCATCATAAGGTCCTTTAATCAATTAATTAGTACAAAATAGCTTTTTAATTTGCAATTTTAAGTCGATATTTAATTTTTATAATAAGAATTTTATTTGTTTGATTTGACATAATTTTTGACATTCGACTTGTTTTGAAATGTCATTTCAAATTTCGGCCATCTTCTAGGCGTTTTCATTTGGAGCTGCTCCAAGCAAGCAAGTCGATAAGATATCGAGCGAATTATCACGTAGTTTCGAGAAAATTGCCACTCTTTTATAGTCTATCGATAGTCAAATGAGACAGTAAAAAAAATAATATTCCTTTGGCCGTCGGCGTTTTCTTTATGAAGCACCGACGGAGTAAGGGAAATTTATTAAAACAGTTTTATATAAAATAAAACATGAGGCACGATACAACTCAAATAGGAATCAAATTTATAAAAACTATCTACTGCACTGTCTTTCCAGACGAAACTGATTCGCAAACGGCGGCCGCTACAAAAAAATATGCCGCCAAAGAAGCCGCCTTTTCAAAGAAATACGCCGCTAAAAATTCTAACCAATAAGATATTCCTGGAGTCAACGTTGACTGTATAAAACAACCAATAAGATGCGTTGTTCGCAAGTGGATTCGCATCCACTGTATACGGGCACGCTCAATATATTTTTCCTAATAATAGTATAATAATTTTAACGGGCAATACGATTATTTGAGGAGGCCCCAATTTTTGCCTTGTCTCATTTGAGAAACGATAGACTATACTGTCGTGGTTGAAAGTATTCCTAGCATTAAATTATGGAGGATTTTTTCAATTTAAATGAACATTTCCTTGTTACATATCATTCATTTTATAACTGTCAATTTTTGTCTATTCCAGGCGCTAGGCTCTCTAGAATAATCTGAGGTTTTTAAAATTGTTCTCTGAAACCTTTCAAAATGCTACTGGAAAGTGTTTTGGAACGTTCTAAATGGCTTAGGGTGGGTGTTATAAAACTGCTTTGACAGTTAACTTGAAGTTAACTTTTTGAATTACATGTAATTCCAGAAGTTAACTTTATAAGTTAACTCTCAAAGTAGTTTTATAATACCCGCCCTTATTAAACTTCTAAATTTTAAAAGTTTTTCAGTGATTTCTAAATTGTCCTGACAGATTTTTAAGTATTTTAGAACTCTATACTGAAGCTTCAAAGTGTTCTAAATTGGTTCAGTTTTCAGGTTATGTTTCTGGATATTATGAGCTGGGTTCGGCTATTTAGCACTCTAGTTACAGTGACTCTATTACCACAGTGGCGACAAATTGCTGTCTTATTTTTGATTGGTTCTAAAATCCCATATATTTATATTGAAAACGCCGCCATCTTGTTCCCAACCTCTTGTTACTTTTAAATATGTATATATGGGATTTAGGTGAACATACATCATAAATAATGAAAAACAACGTATTTAATGGACCTAATAATGGTCATCAAATATAGTCTGGGAAGTGGTAACTTGGTAGGGACGAAAGGGGGAAGAAAAGCGGGGCGTAACCTAGAATATTCACTGACATCCCAACTGACACCGCCTGTTGACAACCATGTCTTTGGGTTCAGTGGCACCGAAAACACCAAGGAAATAAACCAATAAAATTATTAGAAAAAAATTGTTTAGTTTCCCAAATAACCACGTCACTGGTGCTGTCGTTCAGGCTCTCACCAATAGAATCATGCCTCTGAATAATCACGCCTCTCCATATCCATCATTTCGCAATGTTGCCGGATTTTTTTCTAATTTAAAATACTACATACACTACACATGCCCATATTGCAAAAAAAAATATGTCACCAACTTGTTTATTTATTGTTTCCGTCAAGTTTGGCAAAGCAGCAAATTCTTTTGCAGTTCGCCGTTTCGCTAGCCAGACAATAAATCGATTCCAATTTTTTATAATAGATGTCCATTTAAATCCTATTTATTAATATTTAAAAGTAACAAGAGGTTGGGAACAAGATGGCGTGTAGTAGTAGTGTGTATCATCCTTGACCAAAGACTCCGTTCCAACAACGTCAGAGGATAAAACCAAAGACGCTGATTCGCAAGTTAAGGAGATCAAGAATATCGGACTCAAGAGCGGAAGAATCTCTGGGACCGAGAGAAAAAAGGCTCACGAAGACGACAAAAATGGCTGCGGGGACATGGACTGCAGCCAAATCTCAAACAAAGAACAAGCCGACGTCGAGAAAGACCGAGAGCACTAAAAGACTTCGATCAGAGTCTCAGACGTCAAAAAAAGACACCGTAGCTAAGAAGCCCCTGAACTGTTCCGTTAGGTCCACAGACTGGCTAAAGGAATCCGGCAGCCTTATTCTGTAACTTGCGACCGCAGAGAATTGCGCAATTGTCGCTGTCAAACGCGAATTTTCCATTCAAAAAAAGCAACTTGCGACCGATTGCTAGTTGCTATGTAATTGCTGTTCGTAGAGAATAGACCTGCCGCTGGCAGTAATTCACGAACGCCACCCGGACACTACACTAGATCAGAGCCAAGCTGACCGATCTAAAACGTTCTAGTGAGTGGAGGCGATATTTGCTACTCCCTCAAGTAGCAGCAACCCACCGCAGTTAAACAAGACATCGTTCAACGCAGGAATTCTATGGATGACTTTGCTCTAACCAGGAGACAGCAGACTGGCCCGGAGAAAGCATCGAACCCCTTGGCCAACTCTGGGAGAGTGCAGAACTCAGGGTTGTTAACCCTGAGGATCTCCCAGCAAGGCCAAGGTTCCTCGTTTTCGTGCCAGAGCCAGAAGCGACCTCAGTAGAAGTCATCAAGACCAGTTTTGGGATACAAAATCCAGGCCTACAGATGGAAGAATGGCTCCTGCTGATCCGGTAAATAGAAAAGGAAGGACAGCTTCTAGCCTTCTCGATGGATGAAAGCTCATCCATACGGAAGCCCGGTCGTGCAATCTGTCTTCCGAGTTCTTAGTTCATACTTCTGACGTCACAACTCAGAATTTCCGATTTACTACGTCATAACTCGGAATTTCTGATTTACTACGTAAGAAGTCCGTTATCGATGTTGATGTTATTGTTGAAAATTGTAAATGGTAACCTAAAAATTAGGTGTCTGGTTGGATTGTTTTTATTTGCATTTGCGATGTGATTTTTAACAAAAAAAAACTGCATAGCAAAACCTAAACATTCTACATGAAGCAGATAGATAACCATCATTTAAGAGGCTTGTGTCCTGTTGTGTCCTCTGTCTCTCAGATCTTTAAAATAATTGATCCACCAATTTCTACCAAGCCGTCTCATTTGGGACCATCAACATTCAATTCTTTGATATCTTGCCTTGTATAAAGCTTTTTTGGCGTACAAGTGTATCGGCGTGAAAATATCAAATATAGGTTCGTGATACAGCAACCATCGAGAGCAACACACATATTTTCTGTTTCTAAAATCAGTTCTCACAGATTCACAGTCAAAAAATATTGAAAGTAGGTAGGAGAGCAAGCTGTTCATTCGACTAACTCGTTTCCCACAAAGCTAGAAATTTTCTAAATAATGTTTTATTATCCGTCAATTAAGAGAGTAACGTTCTAGTAGGCATCTCGTGGTTGCGTAATAATCCGTCAAGTGTGACGATTGTGACGATAGCAAAGTTGTTATAGGGTCAATCATTTATAACCTGCTTCCACAAGGCTGGAAATTTTGAGAGAATCTTTTCCAAAATAGCAATAAATGAGCATTTCCGAGTTATGACGTAGTAAATCAGAAATTCCGAGTTGTGACGTCAGAACTATGAACTAAGAACTCGGAAGGCAGATTGCACGACCGGGCTTCCGTACATCCAAGACCCTGGAGAGAACCCAGCCTCTAAAAGATATTATAAACTGGGACGCGTTCAGCAGTGCCAATGGAGAGATCTACAGCTGATCCACTGTCACTTCTCGGATCTGTAGAAAACGAATAAGGTCAATGTACTGCCCTTTTTAGAACGACGTGTTTCATCGTGGCGATAAAAACCGTCGTGTTTCATCGTAGTGTCTTTAAAACCGAAGTGTGTGATAGAAAAACACGACGGTTTTCTACAGGGCCCCACAGACTACGATAAAACACGACGGTTTTCATCGCCACGATGAAACACGTCGTTCCAAAACCGAAGTGTGTGGTAGAAAACCGTCGTGTTTCATCGTCGGTTTAAAATTCAGTCCGAGCTTGATTTTTGGCACGACGGTTCAACATTTCGTACACACGAACGGTTTTCTACCACACACTTCGGTTTTAGAACGACGTGTTTCATCGTGGCGGTGAAAACCGTCGTGTTTCATCGTAGTGTATGGGGCCCTTTAAATACAGCCCGAGCTTGATTTTTGGCACGACGGCTCAACATTTCGTACACACGAACGGTTTTCTACCACACACTTCGGTTTTGGAATGACGTGTTTCATCGTGGCGATGAAAACCGTCGTGTTTCATCGTAGTCTGTGGGGCCCTGAAGAAAACCGTCGTGTTTTTCTATTACACACTTCGGTTTTGGAACGACGTGTTTCATCGTGGCGATGAAAACTGTCGTGGTTCATCGTAGTGTATGGGCCTTAAGGCCCATCCTCAATCAATCGTGCCGAAGTGCCACTTCGGTATCACATTGATTGAGGATACAAAGCTGACCTGGAGTAGGTACCGTCAGCCGAACATCAGGAAGACAATAAGAGACACTGAAGACTTGGAGACGGTTCTGGATCAATTCAATGATACAATCATCCCAGCCTTCAATGAAAATTAATTGCCCACTTAAAACAGGGACATTCACCAGAAAAGTGCCCTGGTGGAACGAGAGCCTTGCAAAGTTAAGGAAAAAAAACTATAACAGAATTCAATAAAGCCATGAGAACCGGGCAGTGGGAAACATACAGAACACGTACACGTTGAAAAAGTGTAAGAAAGAGCTGAGGGGTCTTGGAGGAAGTACTCACTGTGAGAATATAGAAAGTACCTACTCAAACTCAAAGAACTCTGCCAAAGGGCCCGAAGACAACAATCAAATCACTGAAGAACAACCTTGGTGAACACACAAAGACGGGGGAAGAGACGGCTAGAGAACTCCTAAGAACCCACTTTTCCGGCTCAA